TTCCTTCCCCCTCCCCAGTCACTCTCCCCACCATTGTCCCTGTCCTTTGGTTGTGCATATATGCATATAAATTCTTTGGTTACTCTCTCCCCCTCCACCCCCTCTCCCCAAAATTAGGAATGTGAATACTGGACACCAGGACCCATAATCTCTTTTGGAAATCACCTACAATTTAATACTGTTCTTTAGGTATTAACAATGTTTTAGTCACAAATGAAAGAGAACCCAGTGAAACATCTACATTTAAAAGAAGTTTTCAAGACAGTCACTATCTAAAGTTGAATTCAAAAAAAGCTAAATTAATGTTTGGGTAATTTGGTTCTCTTAGATTGTGGATATAAAAATCACAAATAATTCCTTCAGAATTTTGAAACAGAAATACGTGATTTTGTAAAAAACATTATTACTACCCAGTTTACTCTATCTTAAAGGCTACTTTATTATAAACAGACATGCAGGAACACAGAAAAAAATAACGTGATACATTGTTTTGGTGAAAAAGAATGTTGGGAAGACAGGAGATCTATCTTTCTGTTCTGCCATCCCTGGCATGTAGCTACCATAACAATTCACAAGATGGCTGTTGGTGCTCCAGCCATCACATCAGTGTGCCTAGCAGGAAAAGAGAAAAGGCAAGGGACAAAAACTGGCACTCCCCTCAGCTGGATTATTCCTCTTTAAAGAGATGACAGAAAGACTCGCCAAAAAATTTTCTGATTACATCTTAATTATGGGCCATCCAAGTTATAAGGGAAGTTGGATGATGTAGTATTTTTAGCTGGGCATATTGCTGACCCCAGCAAAATCAGAGAAGTTACTAAGGAAATGGAGAATGGATATTGGCATATAGAAACTAGCAGTTTCTGGTACATTTAGTATCTTTACCTGACTATTTTTGCCTTACCCTACCCTCCTTGCCAAGACCATGGGTTCTTGCCTCTTCCACTCTGGCTCTCCAGGAACTGCTGGCTCTCTCCATCACTGAGAACAGATGTCTCACTTCCTAACAGGGAAAGCAGCAGGAAGCTGCTCTTTAAAGAGCCTTTGGGGTTTTTCTGGGCGAGGAACAATTGGGCTCCGGCAGGAGACAAGCTTGAAGCCTTGGGGCAGCAGCTCAGAAAGCACAACTGGAAAGAGAGAGAGAGAGGAGTCAGGTGGAGCTGCCAATCTCCTGTCTCATTTACATCATGATGCTGCCTGTGAGCCAACTCAGCGATGGAAGGAGACACTCAGCATGCCATGAGGGCAAGAATTAAGTGTAACACTTGAGAAACCAGCCTATGTCACCTTTTTTTCTATCCCTCCAACTTCTCTATTTCTTGTCCTCTTACTGCCCTGTGTAGTCTCATGCATTTAATTGGAAGTATTCATCTTGTTTTGTGATGCACTCCCTAGATACTTGTGTTTTAGCTTTACCTCTGGAATTGTTTGGTGCCTACCTCTTCTCCCTGGCTTTCTGGGTTTTCACTCCTGCCTATGACTTCTTGCCTCATTCACTTTCATTCTGATGTATTGGCTTTAAGCCACTGCTCTGATATTTTGTGATTCCTGACCTGACATTTTCTTCAGAATCTGTTTCCCCTTTCTTCTAGCACGTGCTACAATAACACAAAGATAGTACTTTGCTGGGTCAGGTGTTAGCAATCATGTTCTATTGCAAATAGAATTATCCACTAAAATTATTAATTGCATAGTTTATTAACTTGTTTTACTTTAAACTCAATAGAAGTCTTAATACAAGAGGTAACTGCAGATCATCCAGAGGTTCTTTCTATGATAAATGAGACTGTGAAAATGACAAAGGATATGAACTTTGAACAGCCATATGAAAAATATGCTGAAATCTTAGAGGAAGTCCTGGAAGAGGTAAGAAATCCAGGCTGTTCATTTTTATCATTAATTTAACAGAAACTGAAAAAACGTTAACATATATAATTAACTTAGAGTCTCATTTGACAGTATTGAAATCTGTAGCCTTCAAATTCATGTACATTTTATAGTCAACATTGTTATGTATAATGTACCTCAGTAATCAGTTGCTTAGGCTCTTTGGTAAATTTTTATTTATCAACAATTATGCAGTGTAGTTTCATAGCTTTGAAATTAATTCTTCATTAACTTTTATTGTCTTTACTTCAGCTCAGTTGGTTAAAAGATGGTGTAAATGAGGCCAGTACCAAAGTTATATATTTCATCTAATTAGTTGTAAACCAAGACTAATTTTGCTGCATAGGTAATTTTATCCAACCACCCTGAATGTGTGTGCATAGTGGAGACAGACGGACACATGAGTAATTTTCCAATCTAAGGGGAAAATAGAGCCTCAGATACTATATTCTACCAATGGCAAATCAGAAAGCTTATTTTTTGTTTACAAAGAACAAGATACCCATGTGGGTCTATTTTGCACAGAGACCTTGAGTAAGCAGAGCAGAGTCAAAGGGAACAAATTAGTTTGGGACCCTGAATGAACTTCTCTATTTCTCTGTAATTTGAAAATGGTGCAATTTAAAATTATGTGAGAAGAAAAAAAATAATTCTGTGAGAATATACAACCACTCTGTAACACATTGGGTGGGTTCTTTGAGCCCCAGGCTATACCCAAGGTGAGTTGCTATCCCCCTCCAAGCTTCCAATAGAGATCTTCAGCTTCCTCTGCATCTCTTCAGGTTGTTCTGTCATCAATTTGTTTCTTCAGAAACACTCTGAGCACCTACAATTTGCCCTGTACTGTGCTAGACCCTCAGGATATGAAGATGAATTAAAAACTCAGCTCTTTCTAAGGAGTTATCAGTCAGGTGGGGGAAGGCTGATCAATAATCCAGTAGTTGAGTTACTGTGTGCTAAGCGATAAACAGATAAATACAAGGTGTAGGAGTTCCATCAAGGTCAGGACTGTCATCTCTGCCTAGGAGATGAGACAAAGCATCCCAGAGCAGGAGACAAGCAAGTGAGGGACGTCTTTAGCACTGTGAAAGTCCTGCCCTTGTCCTTCACTGAAACATTTCTCCATTCCTTTCAGAGTTTATTCTGGAGGATATAGATCTATAGGGAGTACTACTAAAATACTTCTGATAGAGAAATACATGTAGTGTCATTAGATGCTACATTGTGACTCTGGGATTGTAGGGGAGTTTAAGTCACATGAGCTTTTAAATCACAGATTATCTTTCTCAAGAGAACAGACCTGTGCAGGAGACTTGTTTTACCTGTCATCCATTTTTTATGATCTCTGTGAGTAGGAAACCTATTTTCAAAAAGTAACTAGTTACTAATTTTTTACATGTAAAGACAGAATCTTAAGATGTCTTTCTCAAATTAATTTATAGATTGATGCATTGCTAATAAAAAATCTCAATGTATTTGAAAACTGACAAAATAACTCTAAAGTTGATTTGGAAGAACCAATAGTTGAGACTAGGTAAGAACACTTTGGCAAAGTATAATAGAGAGAGACTTGATCTACCAGCTAGTAAAATGTGTTGAAATGCTACAATAGTATATAAAGTTGACAGTCATACAAGAATCAACAGAACCACAGAGAAGGTAAAGAAACAAACCTCAGTAGAGATAAAAAATTTATTATATGCTAAAGTTTACATTGCAATACAAAAGGAAAGGAAGAATTATTTAAGATTATTGATAAAATTAACTGTTGGGGAAAACCAATTTAGAGTCTCACCTTATAAAAAATAAATTTTGTATAAATTAAATAGTTAAATGTAAAAATGGCATTTTTTAACTAGAAGAAAGTATAGTGATATTGAAATGATCTTGGAATTGTCAAGTACTTTGGGCACAATTGCAGTGGAAAAACTCTTAAAGCAAAATCTCAGTGGTAAGGATACTTAATGATTCTCTCTATATAAAAAATTATGAAAATCAAAAATTTAAGCCAAAGGTCAAATTGGGGAAAGTACTTATAATAAAATGACATTAATTTCTTAACATAAGGATTTCTTGAAAATTAAGGAAAATCTATTACCCCAGTATAAAAGCAGACAAAAGACATAAGCAGATTATTTTATCAAAGAAAAAAATACAAATGGTTAATTGAAAAATTTTAATGTTCAAGTTTCAATAAAAATATGAAAATTGAAACGAGATATAATTTCTCTATAAAGTTGGCAAAAATGTACTTAAAACATATAACAATTCATATTACTGAGGCTTTCATGATATAGTCACATAGCAGAAATGAAAATTGAGACAGACGTTTTCGAAGCAAAGTGGCACTGTGTGTGCAAAACCTTCCAAATGTTTATTACTTACTCTCTTTGACCTAAAAACATTTCTTTGAGGAATCTAACCTAAAAAAGTAAGTATTTGGACAAAGATTTATATATACAGATATTCATCACATGAGCACAGTGTTCTTATAAAATTATAAACTATATAAATGTTTAACAGTAAGAGGATGATTAAACAAATTAAGATTTATTCATTTGATAAAATTAATTTGTCATTAATAAAGTCATTAATTTTTTTTTCCAAAAAAATTGAGATGAGGAAACTATAAATTATATGTTGATAATGCTTTAACTTTCATATCTTTGAAACTTGGATAGTAAAAGTTTATTAATCATTTATATTTTTTCCAACTTTATTGATATATAATTGACATATAAAATTGTATTAGTTTAAGATATACAACATAATGATTTGATATATGCATATATGCAAAATGATTATCACAATAAGTTTAGTTAACATCTACTTCACACACTTTTTGTCTGTGTGTAGTGATAACTTTTAAGATCAGCTCTTAGCAACTTTCAAATATACAATACAATATTGTTAGCTATAGTAACGTTGCTGTACATTGTATCCCCGGGACTTATTTATCTTATAACTGGAAGTTTATACCTTTGGACTCCCTTCATGTATTTACCCTCTGCACCCACCTTCACCTCTGGCAATCACCAATCTGTTCTCTGTTTCTGTGAGTTTAGTTCTTTTAAATTCCACATATAAGTGAAACCATACAGTATTTGTCTTTCTCTGTCTTATTTATTTCACTTATATTCTCTATAGCTTTTTTTAACCCTCTAATTCTCATGTTACACATTTCAAAGTGTTTAAATTTTTTTTCTAAGGACTTGCTTATAGTTTCTCTTATGAAATTAAGTTGCTTTTTTTCTTCTGAAAGTTAGAAGAACTCAGAAGATAGTTGATTAAGGCTCACAAAAAGTGATATATCAAAGTAGCATCCTTGACTTGTCTAGCTATGATGGTAATATCAGTGTGTCATTTTTTTACAGGTAGTCGAAGAAAACAAGAACAGGTTTTCTGGTGCCCCAAAATATGGGGGATGGATAGTAGACAACTGCCCTATTATAAAAGAACTGTGGACAACCTTAGTCGAGAAAGGAATTATACCAGATTTAGTAATATGTTTGTCAGATACGGAAAACAATGGTTGGTAAATATTTATCATGTAAATTTGAAAGTGATGTTTTTATTGCTGATAATACTTTTAGTTAAAATATAAACTGGAAAACTCTCCACCCTCAGCCTAGGTACACCTACCACCCCAGCAATCCATTTATGACCTAGGGGTACACAAAATTAGGCATCCATCCACCAAATAGGTAGCCTAGACAGAGTACTGGGGCACTGTGTGTTCCAGCAGGCCCTTGTAATTATTCTTTGGAGCTGGGAATTTATCAACCCCTTGCAGTCAGCACTATAATCTATAAATGAAATATATACATAGTAGGCTGAGGGCAAAAACTGTGTATTAGTCCTTCACCTCAAATGGGACATATTAAGTACATAAATTTTAATTATTTTGTCACTTTGTACAAAGTTATAATAAAACAGTGTGGTACTGGCATAAAAACAAATGCATAGGAATAGAATAAAGAGCCCAGAAATAAACCCACATATATATGGTCAACTAATCTTTGACAAGGGGGCCAAGAATATTTTGTCATTTTGCTTTTTAGGAAAATACACTTGAAAAGAGTTTCCAGGGGGAAATATAATATCCTACATTTTTTCATGTTTTTGTTATTTATGACATGCCAATATATATCTTTAAAAGGGATTTAAAATGATCTCCTGATATTTTAAGGAATCTCGGCTCAATTTAAATAAATGCTTAAAGGAAAATGTATTTGGATATAGGCAGAATTAATTTTTATTTAATTTTCAAACTATCTCACTATATAGAGTTTCAAAATTAATATTATTTCATTTATATTTCAGGAAAATGTTTACTTAATAGGCTGTATTTAGGGAATAAGCCTGAAATCGACTCTCAGATATTTGAAAGATTATTAGATGAACTACAGAAGGAAACTGAGGAAGAAGCAGCAAGGTGAAGCCGCCTGGCCAGTGAACGGCTAACCAGCCTCTCGTGGGCTGTCAAGTATCTACTTGCAATTTATGAAATATCTTCAATATCAAAATGCTGGGCTAACTGATCCAATTCTAATGAATTCCAAGAAAAACAGTAATTTCACAAATGCTTCCAGAATCTCTAAAGTACAGAGTTATGGATGTTTTCACAGTCCTAAATCAAATTTATCCTAAATCAAATATCTACTCTCAAGAGACAGTGCAAAAAAAAAAAAAGAAAAAAAGAACACAAGATTTTTTTTTTCTTTTTATCACAGTTATCTGTGATTTAAATAATTTTGCTAACTAGAATCCATAAATTGAAGAAATAGTATGATAGAAAGTAAATGAAAATACACTTGTATGATATGACCAAAATCCAAAGCCTGACTAAGTGCTAATAAGGAAAAGACTAGTTATTTATTATACTCACAGGTTTAACATCGAGTTTATTCTCCAGACAGGTTGCAATGAAGAAGTTTTAGGAATGTAAACATGTATCTCTTCATGACTGGGATCAAGACTAAGCTTTAATAAACTATCTAGTTCTTCAGAATGGGGACTAAAGTATAATAAGAAACAGTGACTTGATTTGCTGATTGTTCTTCCTTGCTGAAATATGCTGTTAAATACTTTAAATTTTAGGTTGTCCACTGGAATTCTCAGTCACAAAAGCCAAGACCTTTAAGAACTAAATTTCTTTATGTTAATCCACTAAACCTCCTACAATTAATAATGGCACCTCTAGGAGCTTTCTCAAATGTTATTTCCTTTTCCCCTTCAGATATTAACAGTTTGAACTGGGATTAGGAGAGCTCTCTAAACTCTGGAAATTAGAAGCTGTTATCTGGGTTATCAGGGGGTTGGGGCAGATAACTGATGAGTGTGTTAGGGGACTTTTTTTCAGTGTCCATTGTTCATGTAAGTCAGCAATTTTCAACCTCTTTCATCTCATGGCACATAAACTAGTTACTAAAATTCTGTGCTACACCAAAAAATATGTTATAATTTTTGCGGATCTGACAAAAAAAAAAATTAGGTAAAATGTTGATTCATTTACACCAGACAGCTATTGTGGTGTTGGCTGTTGTCATTTTTTTACGTGACATCTAAGGGAAAAGAGATCAGTGCCCCTGACTTAAATAGTCAGGTAGTGCATGTTTTAAAAAATCTTGCAGCACACCGGTTGAAAATCACTGATCTAAGTTAACCATTTTTTTAGGAATTTAACACAAAAACATACAAGGTATAATTTAGTTAGGTTAACTATTTGGAATTATTTGATATATGGAGTAAAAAGTATTATTCAGAGAATAATTACAAACTGATTACATTTATTTATAGCTTTTAAAACTTTTGTTACAAATGGAGGTACAATATTTAGGATTTAAGGGATTACCTAATTTCTTTCCAGTATATGAGAAATAGTCAAATATTTGAAAACAGATGAAAATATTGACATAAGTAAAACAAAGTTTATGCGATTTCTAGACTGAGGTCTGCTACATTTTAAGTAGTAAAAAAATATATACGTCTATAATTTTTTAAAAAGGAAAAAGACATCTCCACTTTCTCACAACTATCTACCTTCATCTTCCTTCTATCATATGGAATTTTCTGAGCTATCTTTATAATCAGTTTTTACTTATTTTGATTCTAAATTTGTATATCTTTATAAACTTCTTGATATCAAAGACTTGCCCAGATTGAAGCAGACTTTTCTGTTTCTACACGTCACCTTTTAAAATTCAGCATAAGTATTTCAAAAAATCAACTTCTTTTTCATATACTGCAGAAAATGAAATCTGAAATGGAACCAACAAAGGTCAGAGTCTCATGTAAAGGCCTTGCAAATTGACTAGGAGAGAGGTAAACTTAACAGGCTTAAGAATTTCATCTTGGGCCAAATATCTAAAGACTCCAGGAATTCTACAGCTTTTCCAGCATCAATTTCCAAATGTGCCTGTCAAATGCAGGATAATTTCTACCATCACATTAGTCTTTGACTCATCTATCTAAGCGGTTTATCGGAGTGTCTAATAACAGGCAGCAAAATTCTCCTTCATTCTTGTCAGGTCTCAGGTTCCTAGCAGCAACATACTTTATCTAGCTTTTGGATAAGGGGAGTTTCACAAAAGGGCCGTATGAACTGCCGATTCACAGTCAAAATGTGAAAGGAGTGTAGAAACAAGAAACATCTCAGAGGTCTGGACACAAACAACTCGAATTACACCAAGACTTTAGTCTGGATGGTGGGATTTGGAATATAGTAAGAGAACACCCCCTATTAACAAGAGACATACCTGTTGGGAGAAGAGGTGTGGTTATTTGAAGAGAATATATGTAACTAGATTTTCAAAGGAAGAGGGAAAGGATACAAAGAATGCTGAATGTAAGAGAATGACAGGCCTATAGAACAGTCTTAAGAAGACTGTCCCAGCCCTGGCCATTGTGGCCCAGAGTGTCAGCTCTCAAACTGAATAGTTGCAGGTTCAATTCCAGTCAAGGGCATATACCTGGGTTGCAGTTTCCATCCCCGGCCCAGCTCTCTTACATCGATGCTCTCTTGCTCTCTCCCCCTTCCTCTCCCTCCCCTCCACTCTGTCTAAAAATCAATGGAAAAAATATCCTCAGGTGAGGATTAACAACAACAAAAGACTGTCCCAGAGTTTGTTGCTAACATGAAGGGCTCTACTTTACTTACCTAGTCCCCTATTGAATACTTGGTACAGTTGTTTTTAATATTATTTTTTAAAGATGCAGTTATTTTTCAAAGAATGCAACATTCTTATACATGTTCCCTTGTGCAATAACAAGCTGATTCCTGAAGGCTAGATTCCTAGATATAGACTTTCTAGGTCAAAAATATACACAATTTCATTTTTAATAAATACTGCTTTTCTGCACCATTTTACTAACTTTTTTTATACCTGTCTTCACCATTAAGGCAGGTTTAGTGCTTCAACCCTAATGAAAAACAGATTCCCTCCAGATATTGAAGTTTCCATATTCTAAGTCTCTTTAAATTTTATCATGACTGTGTTAAAAAGAAAATAAATCAGAAAATAATTGTTTTGATTACCAAGAAAAAGTTACAAATGTTCTATTTATTCAATATAGAAAAATTTTAAATGCAAAAAAGGTCAATAAAATTGAAAACTCATAATGCCGTCATCCAGATAACTACTAACAATTTGATTAGTTTTCTTCTAGTCTTTTAATCATTGTTTATACACATTTAAAATACAAAATTAAAATTTTATTATACGTAGTTTGTTTTTATACTTTTTTCACTGAAAATTATATTGTGAACATTTCTTATTTGATCAGAAAGAAAAGATGGTACAATTTCTCTCATTTGCCTTTTCAACTTGTAGCTAGACAGTCCTGTATTCATTTTGGCAGGTTTCCTAATAAATGACCACAGCTTTTCAAAGTGCAACAGTCCAAATTTTCTTCCCAAAAAACCCCCCAAAAACCTGAAAATTAACTGACCTTAATATGAGTAAATTAAACATTTACATTTTAAAGTAAAAATATAATGAATATTATAAACTGCTTATTCTTTATTTTTACCACTCTAAGCCTTAAATCCTATAATTTTGTGAGATGTTTGAATTTCCAAAGATAATTAAATTTTAGATTTTTATTTTTATTTTTTCAGAAAAGCCAAAGAAGAGGCATTGAGAATGGAAGAAGAACATCAAAGGCTGTTGGAAGCTATGGATGAGAAAACAAAAGGCAAACACAGATTGATTGGCTAATCATGTGTCATTTAATTTTGTATTATTGCAAGCAAATGCAGTATTTCGGTGAATTATAGACAGGGTGACCGTATTTCTTTGCCCATGAAAGTCCAGGTTTATGGCTATGATCCTGAAGTATTTATTTGACCCCCTTTCATTCTCAGCATGTTCCAATATGGATAAAAATTATATGGCCACTGGAGTAATGGATTCATAGGAAAAAGACTCCTGACACAGATACCTACTCATGTACCCTCTAAGAGGGGTACACATCAGGAGAACATGTGTAGCATGCCTTAAACCGGTTGCCCTGGTCATAGATGACATATGGCTATTGGGATTACTTGTATTAGAAGGATCCTGCAGAAGTTGACGAAACAGTCAAACTCTTACTAACCCATTGTCTTTGCACTTAAACTTCCAATCTCCATTATAAAACTTACTCTACAACTTTCTTTTAAGATTGGAGTTCTTAACCTGGAGTCCATGGATAAAATTCAGGGATCTATGGACTTGAATGAAAAAATAATTATTTTAACTAACCTTTAACTAAAATTTAGTTTTTCCTTCAACTAGTAATTCATATAGGCAACAAACCACAATAGTATTAGTGATAATTTAACTTTGTCACCAATAGAAATGAAGATATCACATTACAATTTATATATCTTGTTAATGCTTATCCCTGTTCCCAAATTATGGTAGTTATTAAACCACCTGCTGGTTCTTGTTTAATACTTTAGTAAAGATGCACAATTTTCTTACAGCACAAGTTTGTTTTTGAGGTCTTGATGACTGTATTTCAATATAATTGGCTTCTTACATATTTTACTTTATGAGATTGATAGCATTATTATAAAAAGGGGTCCACGAGTTTTATCAGACAGCCAAAGAGGTCGATGGCTCAGAAGAGTAAAGAGTATGTTTCAGTTTTCCATTGCTGTGCAAAAAGCCACCCCAAAACTGTAAAACAACCCCCATTTTTATTATGTACAAATTGTGTGGATCAGGAATTCGGGCAGGCTTATCTCTGCTCCCTAAGGACCTCTTTCTGACTTAAGTAGCCACCTTGGAGGTGCATCCTCTGGCCCCACCCAAGCCTTCAGCTGACTGTGGCCCTGATTAACATCTTCATGATGACATCATGAGAGACCCAGAACCAGAACCATCAGTAAGCCACTTCCAAATTCCTGACCCCAGAAATTACAAGGATAATATGTGATTATTGTTGTTTTAACCACTGTTTCAGGTAATTTATTATGAAGTAATAGATAACTATACGACACGTATTTAGTTAAAATCCCAGATAGTAAAGGATCTTAGAACACTTTTCAATCATTCCTGACTTATATAGTATTCACATTATCCACTAGGGTTCTAGAAAAAAGTATTAGAACTTTTTACTTTTTTTTTAACCAAAAGAGACCATTTAGTTGAAGACATTTTGAGTTTTGGGTGTAGAGTACATATAACTTCATCCCAAACCCTAGTAGGTTTCAGCAAATTCTGTTCCTTCCTCTTGTGTATCACCATAAAATTCTCCATATAACGCCAAAGGTTCACCGCATTCTAACTCACGTATTTGGAAGCCACAGGCTCTGCAATCCTGGTCAGACCTTGAGATATAAGGACACTTCAGGATGCTTTTCTCTGGTGACTTAATCACCCAGATTTAGATTAAAATTCGGGTACCAGAGGTATCACACCAGTAGAATGTGATTGTTGGAAGGTACTCACTGAGAGGAAGGAATTCCCACAAGAATCCAGAAATCAAGTTCCTTTATTTTTCACATCATCTTGGCAAAGATATTACCTTGTTTTTCAGTCAATTTCATAAATATAGTGAAGGAATTGGGAAGATGGATTTTCTGATTCCACCATTCACCCCTTCTTCTTCCTGAAAGATGTCCATGCATATATTTCTGATAATGGTCATCAGCAACTACAGAAAATTTGAAATTATGCTTTTTAAATTTCTATTTAACATATTAACATACTCTATTATTCATTATTAGCTATAAGAAAATATTGAGTCTAGCCCAGTGCTGCATAACACAAGCCACATATGTAACTTTAAATTTTCTAGTAGCCACATAAGTAAAAAAGAAACAGGTTAAATGAATTATATTTTATTTAATATGCTATATGCAAAATACTATTTTGGCATGAATGCAAAATTTGTTGGAATAGTTTACATTCAATTTTTTAATACATTTTTTTTAAAGATTTTTTATTGATTTTTAGAGAGAGAGGAAGGGAGAGGGAGAGAGAAAGAGAAACATCAATGTGATGGACATGGACAACAGTGTGATGATTCCCAGCAGGAGTTGGGTGGGTGGAGGTGGAAGAGGGCATAGAGGGGATAAATAGTGATGGGAAAAATAAAATTTTGAAAAAGAGAGAAAGAAACATCAATGGGAAAGCGAAACGTCACAACCCAGGTATATGCCCTGACTGTGAATCTACCTGGCAACATTTTGATGCACAGGACAACGCCCAACCAACTGAGCCACAACAACCAGGACTACATTCAATTTTTTATACTAAATCTTTGAAATCCATTGTGTATGTTATGCTTATTTCACATCTTAGTTTGGACTAGCCACATTTTAAGGGCTCAATAGCCACATCTTGCAGTGGCTGCATATCAGACAGTGCAGTTCTAGCCATTCCCTTATTGAATGGACATTTGAGCTGTTTCTAACTTTTTACTGTTATAATATTTGGGGCTGCTATCCATTTCCTGTTTTAAATGAACTCTTAGGCTGGTGTTTCTGTAGCACTCTGAGTATATGACTATAATCCTTTACTACTATGTTTTAATAGGTAAAGTACGTAGAAAATGTGTCTCTCTCCCTCATTAAACCCCATGCTCCAAGAAGGCAGGAGAACACTCTCTTTTTAAAAAAAATTATTGTTGAAAGTATTCCAGATGTCCCCTTTTTTCCTCCATTGATCCCCTCCACCCTGCATCTACCACTACCTCCCAGCCTTCCCCATACTATTGTCTGTGTCCATGGATTATGCATATAAGTTCTTTGATTAATCTCTCCCCACCCACTCCCCTATCCCCTCCTTCCCTCTAAGATTTGACAGTCTGTTCCATGCTGCTGTGTCTCTGGATCTATTTTGTTCATTATATTCCACATATGAGTGAGATCATGTGATCCTTATCTTTCTCTGACTGGCTTATTTCACTTAGCATAATACTCTCCAGTTCCTTTCCATCCATGCTGCAGGGGACCACTCTTTATTCTTTGTTTGGGTCTCAGCACTTATCAGAGTGCCTAGCACCCAATTAATATTTACTGACCTAATTTGAATGATAATTTATTTCTTCTCACTTTTTTCCTAGAAGCTGAAGAGGCTGACCTTGAAGCTTATGAGGAGCTTGAAGGTGAGGATGCTGATGTTCCTGAGGCCCTTGAGGAGGCTGGGGGATTCTTACCTGAGGAGCCTGAAGTGTCCGAGGTTCCTGAAGCAGAATCTGAATCAGGTTAGACTTTGTTGACAGCCACATCCTTAATTCTACTCATGTCCATTGGTGTGTTTGTGTGTGCATATGTGTGTATATGTTAAGAAAATAAAAACAGGCTAAAAATGGAGAGATGAGCCCCCAGAGAACAGCCATTTATTCCAAATCCCATGGTTTGAAGTGCTGTAGGAAAGCCGATGCTGCTCTATCCCATCCTGGTACTCAGGAACAGGGCTGCCTATGTCATTTGTGGGACATGTTCAAAAAGCAGGAAAGAAGTTCCATTAAAGGTACTAAAATATAAAGCTTTTGTTTCCTTCCATAATCTCTCTCAACTTGTCATGGATTGATTTTTATTTGCTATTTAATGTCATTCTAAGTAAAGAAAAATTAAACATTTGCATTTTTAGCATGAATTTTACAATTCATCTTTATATTGTGCAAGGCCATTTTTAAATGAAAATCTAAGAGCATTTAACTCATATGCAGAATCACTGAAATTAACACAATTCATATTTGGCAGCTCATACATACATATGTAGTTCATTCTTACCAGAATACTGATAAGTTTTGTGCACAAAACTAACTCAGCTTTTTATTTCATTTCTTAATATGCACATATTCTTCCAACACTCTCTACCATTGACTTCTATGTCATCATTTTCAACGTAAGTGTTTAGCTACTATAGGAAAGTGACATGAGTAAGAAGGGCTATGATTGGGTTCCTTGGTCATTCATGTCTCTCTGAATGCTCTCACCTTCTTTCTGTATCTGAAGCAAGTTCTAGTCAAAGGGAAAACATGATCTCTCAGGTCTGTCAGCATCTTCCCCTGCCTGCCTCCAGCACTCAGTCACACTTACTCCCGCACATCATAGGTCCCCAGGAATTCGATGCTCATGATGGGGCATCAGGAACTCTCACGGGAATGGGATGGCAAGGACTGGCTAACACATATTGTGCATACCTCTGCTCATATGTGTGCTCTGTTGTCCCATGGGAGCTCCTTTGGATTTGTTTACAAAACAAAGTTCAAAGATAAAATTATTAAGAATTTCAAATTGACAACCAAAGTGCATTAAACTGTGAGGCCATTCTGAGAGAGAGACTGTACAACTGCACAGGTCACACAGCCATGGAGCCAGCCCTGCTGCAGAGGTGCAGTTTAGGGGGTAGGGGCAGGGCAAGAAGGAGTCTTAGGGCAATGAAAGTCCCCCTCAAGACTGGAGAGTGGGCTTAAAGCAGCAAGACAGAGTACCCAGCATGGTGGGAGTGAGGCTCACAAATAGGCTTCCAAACTCAGTGTCGAATAAGAAGCTAATGCTGTGAACTAAAGGTCTTCAAATACCTGGCAGCCAAATCCAGCCTGCTGTCAGCTGGAAAGAGACCCAGGACTATGGGGAATTTTTACAGTGAGAAATCTCAAGTTCAACATAGATAATTTTTACTAGAGGGGTTGACATTAGCTTTATAGGGCAGTAAGTTTAAAATCATATCCCTTGCGCCCAACAGAGAAGCTAGCAGGATGAAATACTCAATTTCCTTTTAAAAGTCCCACACCTCTATTGACTTGTGCTCCCACCCAGAAAATTCAGTATTTTCTTCAGTACCTAAACAGTTAGGCTAACTATTCTCCCATCCACCTACCTTTTGCAAGAAGACAGGCCATAAAATACCAAATATAAATAAATAAAAGAAACAGACATCCATTAAATATGACACATCAAACATATCCCCAGAGTTCTAGTATCCACAGTGTCTCACATTAGTATTTACTAATGTAACAGGTCTAAGGGACAATTTAGTTTTATTGCCTTTCATCTCCTTACTGTTTCTCCCAGGGAACCTCCTTTGGATGTTCTGAAGTCAGCCTCCTACTCCATTTAGGGTCAGTTCTAGCTCATTTCCGTAAATAGGATTATTATCAGTTAGAATTGTATGTACTGTGTGTCAGTTATTATTTTGGTCATTGTCCTTTAGTATATTTAAGAATATTCTTCATTTTCTGCCTCATACTATTAAGTATTTTTATGCCATACTTTACCTAATAAGAACTGTATTTTCAATTAGATATAGTATATACAATTTAAACTGTGTTTTGAAATTTTCTTTGTGTCAAAACTTTCATAAAGAAACAATGTTTTAAAATGCAAACACTAACTATTAGATTTCTTTTCTAAGCATTTGAGCCTCCTGAGGAAAGTACAGTTGGAACAGAAATTCCAAAAGAATCCAAAGAAGGCCTGGAAACTCAATTATCTCAAACAGGTTAGCTTATAAAATAAAAGTAGTGCATAAAAGTGCTTTTCATATTCTAGTCCTTATTTTAGGCATAGTACCAACTTCCTACTTATTTATTTTTACATTATATGCCAGTTGACGTGTTATGTTTATTTAGCTTATTACATTAAAAGTGTATCTAGCCAGCTTATAACACTGTTTTTCATCAAATTTTATTTTATACATTTTATTAATAGTTAAAGTTGCCATATGAAATACATAGTAATTATCCAAATAATTTTATTAATAGATAATTCATCTATAGCCAATACAAGGAATGGAGCATAATTAAAATATAAATTTATAAATGTACACTATTGCTGAGAACAATATGTTTATTTCTTTCATATGTTTTAAAAATATTATAAAGTATAAATTATTTTGGCAGTATGGGTCAAGGTACCATGTTTGAAGCCTGTTTTTTTTCTTTTCTTTAACCTTCATTCAAAAGTTGTATTACCTGAATTTCCTGAAGATGCTTATCCTGATGTTCCTGAAATGGAACCATTTAAAGAGAAGATTAAATCTTTCACCTCCAACTGGAAATCTCTGGAAACAGCAATCACTGAATCTTTCCTTCAAATTTTCAAGTTGGAGATTGCTGGCAAAACTCCGGAGGAACTACTTCAAAAAGCAATTGAGACTATGGAAAGTAAGGGCTGGAATCCTAACACTTACTGTCAAGAACAGGTGGTAGTATTAAAAGCACTGTGCAATTTTAAAGCCTGTCTTGATGTTCTATAAGGGAAAACATTCAACAGATCGAGCGCTGATGTTTAAAATATTTAACAACTCTCATAGGGTAGGCACCCATTAATCAGAAAAGCTGTGGGGCACAAACAGCACCAGCCAAACTGGCCAGTTGCTGCTTAAAAAATTCTGAAGGCCAATTTGCATATACATTTAAACTAAGCGATCAGTCACTATGATTAATTTTACTAATCTTTCACTACTGTAATATATGCTAATACCATTATTTTCCCAAGTGTTTCTTTCTTTCTTTCTTTTTAACAGAACCTTTCCAGTATGCTAGGTGGGAGTTTAGTATAGAAGATTATGAAGAAGAAACAGAAGACTTTCAGGCTGAAGCAGAGGTTGAAGAGGAGCTGGAAGAGGAAGAAGAGGAAGAGGAAGAGGTATGAGTCTTCTATTACTGCTCCTTCACGTTGCCACATCATTGAAAGTGCACATATCCTGAGTGGTAATTCGCACTCTTGGACCCCAGGAAAACAAGCAGGCTCCCTCAATTTTACACATAAACATTTTCAACACACTGCCTCCAGCCCAGCTTCCCTTGATCCCTGAAATGCCAGGGCTGCTTAGACAGTATGTTACACCCATGAAAAAAGAAAAGGGAAATCTTTTACATTTTTTTCATGGAAAAAGCTATAGATATTAGAGACAGAAATAATTTATAAATTTAACAGAAGTTGGTGTTTTATGTAAAATACAGCAATGGCACCTTTGAGAGGCTACTTGCATGATACTAACAAGTGGTATTTTCAAATGGGAACAACTTATTTTAGGCACCAGCCTACTCCCTTGTCATGAGAATTTTTATAACAATTCTCAGTTGATAGCCACCCAATTTAGGCATCTATCAATAATAAAATAGGAAGTGATTTTTTTTTTTCAAATTTTGGGCTTTATGACGGAAACAAAATGATGTAATAAGTTAGATAAACATACAGTTGTAATTAAGCTAAACCCAAATATATGTGTGTCAAACAGCAGATGTCATGCCGTGTGTCTATGACAGCAACTTTCAGTGCTTCAGCACTAAGGAGCTGCCTCAGTCGGGGCCTAACAGATGTGGGTTCTGTCCCGCCTGTATTCAGATTCTCTTCTTGCAGAATCATCCTTCTTCTATTCTTCTGTGTCCTGTTCTGTTTTGCGAGAGAATGTCTCTCTCTTGTGTCAGCAGAGAATTCTCAGGCTATTTCTAATCAAAACGTCTATTTTTAAGCACAGTCTTCATTGATAAGTGTCCTTTCCTCACTTCTACTCTTCCTAATTTACTAAACACAAATCAGTTTTTCCTGTTGTATTAGTTTCCTAAGGCTGCCATAAGAAAGTGCCTCAAACTGGAAGGCTTAAAATAACAGAAATTAATTCTCTCATCGTCTCGAGGCCAGAATTCTGAAATCAAAGTGTCAGTAGGGCCATGCTCCCTCTAAGGCTCTAGGGAAAATCTTTCTTTTCCTGTTCCAGCCTCTGATGGCTCCAGATACTCCATTGCTTGTGGCTGCTTAACTCCACTCTCTGCCTCTCTCTGTACATGACCTTCTCCCCTTTGCCTTCTCCTTCTCTTAGAAGGACATTCGTCATTGGATTTAGGGACCACCTGGATAATAAACTGTAAATATCATCTTGAGATCCTTAATTACGTCTGCAAAGTTGCTTTTTTCAAACAAGTCAGATATGGCGTCCAGGAGTTCTTACAAATTTTGATCTAGGAGGAAAAAGAACACTCTATCCTGACATCTGTCTGGAAAAATAGAAATAAAGAACTCTGCTTCTCCCATCTCAGTCAGTTTCCCTGACTAATCATAACTAGAGGACTTAGTATGTGGCTGAGCCAGCCTTGGTAACATGCCCACCCAATGACTGTGGGGCAGGGAGTTACTGTAATTGTCTGCTCCGTTTGAGTTCATTGGAATGTGTAAGAAGCAGTTCTCCATGGGAAGAGGGAGAAAGGTTATATTACTAGAAAAATGGGGAAAGGTGCTATACAGACAAAAGCAAAAGATATACACCACATCATAAGAAAAATTCTGGGAAGATATGTACTAAAATCTCAACAGTCATTCTGGAGAAGATGGAGTAAAGGGGATTGAATTTACCTTCTAGCCTGAAAACAACTGAAAAACAAGTTAAAATATATGAAACAGTTTTTAACACATTGACATGAGACAGTGAAGCACAGTGGTCCCAGAGAGATGGGAAACAAATGAGGTGCACCCTACCATTTCCCCAGCTTAATATCTATAAGATCATGTACCTTGTCCAGGCCATGGTCCGGGGAGGCAGAGCCTGGCAGACTCCTTTATTAGAGGAAATAGAGCAGAGAATCCCAGGGCACCAAAGCAGCTAGAGTTCACAGGGAAAAGACCAGAAAGGAAAGAAGTGCACAGAGGGAAAACTCCAGAGATCTTCAGAGCAGAGGACTGATCAGCTTTGCCCGTTAGAAAACTATTCTGAGCCAGTGGAAGTACCACCTGATGAGATTAGAGGGACCAGTACTTAGGTCTCACACAAGGCCAGAAATAATGTCTATTCCCACCAACCACTGGGTAGTACTAAAAAGGGTCCAAGCCTCAGGAATGAAGGTAATTAAACCTGGAAGGTATGCAGCAAAACAATAAATAAAATAAAAGGAACTGCTGATACATGCAACAATCTGGATGAATCTCAAAATAATTATGCTAAGAGAAAGAACCCAGACAAAAGAGAAAACATACTCTATCATTACATTTGTATAAAATTCTAGAAAATGCAATCTAATTATAGTGACAGAAAACACAGCAGTGGTTGCCGGGGGATGGGGCAAATAGGAGGCAAACAGGGTCTGGAAAGAGGCATGAAAATTTGTGGTATTGATGAATATATTCATTATCTTTATTGTGATGATGGTTTCACAGATAAACACACATGTCAAAACTTATCAAATAACACAGTTTAAATATGTACAGTGTTTTAATGTCAGTTATACCTCAATAAAGCTGTTAAAGGTATTAATGGTGGTTATAACCATCATTGTCTCTGAATGATGGACATATAAGTAATTTTTATTTTTTAAATTCTTGCCTCTCCTTCATTTCTTCTTTTTTCTCCTTCCACAATACCTATTACTGGTTAGGTCTCTTGGATCTATCCTCCAAATATCTTATCTTTTTCCTCATATTTTCCATCTTTTTATATTTTGTTAACACTTGAAGATTTGTCTTCCTAATCTTCTAATATAGACATCATTAGGGTTTCTAGAGTAGTATATTTGCTATTGCTGCTGTAACAAATTACTACAAGGTTGTTGGCTTAAAATCAAATTATTGTACAGCTCTCAAGGTTGGGAGTCTGATTTTAGGGCTAAAATCAGCATTGACAGTGCTATGTTCCTCCCTCAAAGAAGAATCCTTTTTCTCCCTTTTCCAGCCTCTGGAGGCCACCTGCATTCTTTGGTTCATGGCCTCTTCCTCCATCTTCAAAGCACATCACTTCAACTTCTGCTGTCCGTCATCTCATGTCCTTCTGCCTTTGATCTTCTTGCCTCCCTAGCACAAGGACTCTTATGAATACATTAGACCCCCTGGATATTTTTCCCAACTCAAAATCTTTAATCACACACGTGAGGTAATATAATCACAGGTTCTGGAAATCTCTTTTGCGGGGGAAGGGAGGACATTATTATGTCTACCACCATGGTCACTCTCTTCTTCAGCTCATTTACATATTTTGTTGGTCTTTGTGAACTCTTTCTAGTGGTTAGTTGAATTTTTATAAATGCGTTCATTATTTTTCTACCCAGAGATTGGGTTTCTTCCATCCTGTGTTGCAGACTTTATGATCTGTTTGATCTAACTGCTCTTTCAGTCTGCTAGTCTCCCTTAGCCTATGGGTGCCAACAACAAAAACAATAAAGGAGAATAAATGGCATTCTGAATATCAATAAAAATAGAACTCAAGGAGAAATGCATTAAAACAACAAAAAAAGATGCTTTATACTGTCAAAGATAAGCAAATTGGCACTAAAGTGGTAAGGACCTTTTAATCAGTAATAACTATTGAAATAGGAAAAGGAGCCCATTGTGAACTGAAATCAACTCTGGTTGAGTTGAATGGACATACAGAAGTGAAAGGGAGAATTAGGGGGTAGGGAGGGCACCAAGCAGGAAGCCCATAGAGTTAGGAAAATGGAAAATTGCAAAAGGTTGGTCAGTCAGTGTAAAAAGCAGTTGGACCAGCTGTGTCTGCTAGCTGGCAATTATAGAAGTCAGAATTCTGTCCTCACACAGGGACTGGGAGACTGCCCTCAGATGTTGACTGAACAAACAGTAACATTTTTTTAGCAGCCTTGAGTTTTCTCAGGCAGGCACTGAGAGGAGGTAGTAGAGTCATCTTAGGGATGTGGCCTTGACCTGTTGGAAACTATTAGCATTTATTAAAGTCTTTTAAATTTTTTTCCAGGTTTATTGAGAAATAATTAACATAACATTGTGTAACTTAAAAGTGTACAACATGATGATTTGATATTCTTATATATTACAAAATAATCGCCATAATAAAACTAGTTAACACATCCATCACCTCACATAATTACAATTTTTTTGTGTGTGGTGAGAACATTTAAGATCTACTCTTTTAGCAACTTTCAAGTATACAGTACATTATTGTTAATGATAGTCACCATGCGGTACATCAGATCCCCAGAATTTATTAATCTTATAACTGTAAATTTTACCCTTTGACCAACATCCTCTCCATTTCCCCGTGCCCCCAGCCCCTAGCAATTACCATTTTATTCTCTGTTTCTATGAGTTTGACTTTTTAAAAAATTCTACATATAAGTGAGATCATACAGTATTTATCTTTATATGACTTATTTCATTCAGTATAATGCCCGTAAGGACCATCCATGTTGTTGCAAGTGGCAGGATTTCCTTTTTTTAATGACTGAATAATATTCCATTGTGTGTGTGTGTGTATATATATATATATATGTGTGTGTGTATATATACAGTTTTTTATCCATTCACCTGTCAGTGTTCAAGTCTACATCTATAAAGAATGAACATTCTCTTTAGTACTCATGTAGTAGTTCAGAAAGAAAATCACAATAAATTTTAAAAAGTAGAAATCTTACATATCACAGTCTCTGATCACAATACAATAAAACAAAAAATTAACCCCCGAAGGATAGTACTTCCCCACTCCCCCAATATAAACACTCTAAATTTAAAAAATATATACACATAGTTTCTTTCTAAATGCTAATGAGTTAAATAAGAAATCAAAAATGAAACTATAGCCTATTTAAACATTAATGATAATTAAAAGATCACATACAAAAACTTTGTTGCATGGCAGAAGTGGAAATTAGATAAAAAACAATACCCAATAAAATTTGAATTTCAGATAAATGAGCAATTTTTTATGTAAGGTACATGCTTATATGTGGTACATTGTAAAACCTTATTTTTTATCTGAAATTCAAATATAACTGGAGAGCCTGCTTTTTTATTTGCTCAGTCTGGCAACCCTACTTTAAGTACATTTGTTGAAAAACAAGAAAGACTAGAAAAATTAATTAAACATTTAATTCAAGAACCTGGAAAAAAGCACAACAAAATAAAGTAGAAAGCCAGAAGATTAAAAGCAAAAGTTAATGAAATAGAAAAACAAGAGCAAATAAAAATAGTATACCTAATTTCAAAAAATGAAAAATTGGTTCACTGACAAGAGCAATAAAATAGACAAATTTCTGTCAAGTTGAATCAGGTGAAAAGAAAAAGCAAAAAATAACACTTGAAACAGAAATGTACCATATATAATCAGGTAAAAAAGAAGGTTATTTTAAATTACAGTAACTTTATAATAATAAATTAACTTTAAAATCAAGATGAAACAGATTTTCAAAATATGAAGCACTAAAATATGCTTTGGAAGAAAGATAAAAGCTGAACAAACAAAAATAACAGGAGTTTTAGGTGATTTCTAATATACTTTTGTTGATTAGATAATTCCTATGATGTTTAAAGCCATTCACACCATAGAAAAAGATCAGAACTCTCCAGTTCATTATGAAGCTTGCATAACCCTGATAAAAAATTAAACAAGAGTGGTACAAGATAACAGTCACAGATGTAAAGTACAGCATGAGAAATACAGTAAATAATATTGTAATACCTGTGTATGGTGTCAGGTGGGTACTAGACTTATTGGGGTGATCACTTTGTAAGTTATATAAGTGTCTAATCACTATGTTATACATCTGAAATGAATATAATATTGTATGTCAACTGTAATTGGAAAAAATAACTTTTAAAATAAAATTTTAAAAAATAATAATTTTTAATTAGTCTCATTTTTGCACCGTTACCAAAAGTTGTTCATTATATCTTGTTTTAGAGGGGGAAAATGAGGCATGTAATAAAATAATCATGTACAGTTCATTGGTATTTTAAAAAATAATGTATTTGTGCCTAAGTATATGTCTAATTTGTATGTATATTGGTAGGATATACTTAGAAAAAAGAGTCTGGAAAGATACACATAAAACCATTAAGAGTGTTAATATAACATTGGAAGGAAGAAGCTGAGAGAAAATTTTTATTCTTTATGCATTGTGGTGTGTTTTGAATAATTTTACAATAAGCATGGATTTTATAACACAGAAAATTATTTTTAAATGTACTTCCATTGCTTAAATAAATTGCAAGAATCCTTAAAGGACTCTACACAGTTTCTTTATTTTTTCATAAATGAAAATATGTTACACATTTCCAATGGAATGAAATAAAATATTTCCAAACAAATTTTTTTTCATTATTTATATTGAGTTTATTGGAGTGATTACATATCCACTTAGTAGGAAACATAGCAAATCCTAAAACATGTCCCATCTCATTTTCAATGAGTAAGAAGTTGTGACCCTGACTCAGCTTTCAACATCTTAATTTTATTTCAGAAACTGATTCTGCACCAGAGGCACATCCTGGGGTTTTCATTATGCCTATGTCTGTAGAGGGCTAGGGACACCTTGATTCTCAGTGCTGTTTTATTTTCTTTATGAAAATAAAGAAGCTTGAGATGTGAACTTTGAGGAATTTGAGAAACTGATTTGTTAATTAATTCATTCATTAATTAAAAGGCCAGTATAAGAACTGGCCATTACAAATTATTTTAAAGATGAATTGTTATGGATTAAATATTATTCATGAGACATTATTTTTTAATTCCTTCTTTAATATTGCATCAAAATACTCTTTAAAATATTCTCCAAATGTTAAATAATATTTCTAGAATGAAGATAGAGTGAAAGAAAAGAAAAGGCATTTCGGAGACACAAAGCACTTTTGTCCAGTGGTTCTCAAAGAAAACTTCGTTCTTCAACCAGGCAACCCAGAAGAAGCAGCTAAATATCGAGAAAAAGTGTACTACTTTTCAAGTCCTGAGGCTAAAGATAAATTTTTGGATCATCCTCAGGAGTATGTGGCTCACAATGAACCATTAAAGGTAAAAGCTATATTCCTATCCTAATGATTGCTCTTGTGTACTTTTTTAGGAACTTATTACATCCTTACTTCTTTATCACCTTTGGAACAGTTTCCTACCTTCTTTAAAAAGTATTTATTAAAGCCAAACACAAAAGAACAAATAGTGTATAATTCGACTTAAAAAGGTACCTAGAATATGTAAATTCATAGGGACAAGAAAATAAGCGGTTTCCAGACGCTGGGAAGAAGGGAAAATAGAAGTTGCTGTTTCATGGGTACAGAGTTCCAGTCTGAGGTAATAAAAAAGTTCTGGAGAGAGAGTGGTGATGGTTGCACAACATTGTGAATGTACATAATGCCACTGAATTGTACACTTAAAAATGGTTAAAATGGTTTTATGTTATGTCTATTTTACCACATGTGGCAATACTTTATTCATTTTTTTAAAGAGTTTGACTTGTTTTTTTAAAATACATCTTTATTGATTTCAGAGAGAGGAAAGGAGAGGGAGAGAAAGATAGAAACATCAGTGACGAGAGAGTCATTGATCGAGTCTACAACCCGGGCATGTGCCCTGATCGGGAATCAAACCCTGATCGCCTGGATCTCAGGTTGACACTCAACCGCTGAGCCACGCCCGGCTGGGCCTTTATTCATTTTTTAAAACAAAGCACACACACAGCGATACCAGCTTTAGACAAGTCTTCATATTTATGTTTTACTTCTTCATCCACTTCAGCATGGATGTATATTCTTTCTAGAGTATATAATATTTTGTAGTCTTTTTTCTCTTAACATTTTATCATAGAAAGTTTATGCATTTCTAGATAGATCTCATAATGGTTTTGACATAACATTTTAATATAATTTGTTAGACTTACCATGCTAAAAATGTATCTTTTCATTCTTTTTAAATTAAAACAAAACAAATTGTTTTATTAAATGCCTTTTGGCACATGAGATCAAGGTGGCTTATGATTGTTAATGCTCCCTGAGAACCATTGTTGATGCAATGCCTCATGTTAATTGATATGCTAATGTCAAAATGTCCTTGAGTTTGTGAACTGAGAATTCAGTCTTAGGGAGGGTAGTTAATTAGCCTTTTTTTTAATAACAAAACTTCCTTTCCTTCACTCTCCCCTACCCCACCTCTCCCTGACCCACCCCACTGTGGCAGGCTCCTCCATTAAGAATATGCCTTCTGGGTCCCCGTGGCTCTGGCAAAACTGTCTGTGGAAGACAGTTAGCAGAAGACTTTGGCATCTTTCACATTCAGTTTGAAGAATTTCTACAAGAAAAACTAATGCTCAAAACTGAAAAGAAAATTGGACCTGAATTTGAAGAAGATGCTGAGGAAGAACAACTTGCAAAACAAGAACTTGAAGAGCTTGCGATTCAGGCCAATATCACAATTGAAGAAGAAAATACAAAGAAGCCGGTAGTATTATTAACTCTCTTTGCAGATAGTTGTGTTTACTATTACTACTTTTGGAAAGTAGAATATAAGCAGTATAAAACTCTAACGTTTCCAAGAAAAAGAAAATAGCCCATAAAAGTCATTTAAGAGACATCTTCCCCATATGCTAGATATGAATCTTACTGCTAATCCAGAATATAAAATTACTGACTTTCACATGACTCCAATAAAAATCAGAAAAGCTTTCCCTTACAAGACTGTCATATAGCATTAATTTGGTACTATGTTATTTGATATGTCTGACCTAGACTCGGGTTTTCTATTGTGGTGTTTACTGTTTTGTTTTTAAGATTTTTTTTTTTAGAGAGAGAAGAAGGGAAAAGGAAAGAGAGAGAGAAACATTGATGTGGGAGCGAAACATTGATCAGCTGCCTCCTGTGCAGCCCCCACTGGGGACAGAGCCGAAACCCAGGCATGTGCCCTGACCAGGAATAGAACCAGCAGCCTTTCAGTGCACTAGACGACACTAGCCAGGGCTGTGATTTTTTTTTTTATCATGTATCATGCATACAATATCATGTATCCCCTGTGCTAATGGGAATTTCAAAATACTGATTTCTTATGAGGCCTCATAAGAAAGTTTGTATGACTCTCTTAGGTGGTTTCTATCTGGGGTTGTAAAGAAAAAGTTCTTAATTCTAACTCACTTAACCATTTCTGGTATAGCTAGACCCTTTCTTCTCAAAGGCTCCCTGTCAATGGACCCAGGTACAGATTGTATTTCAGATGACTGCCTGGCTAGCCCATCCTTTAATCACGATGTAGGTTTAATAATTATAAGATAGATGACAAAAATCAGTTATAGATTGAACAAGGTTTTAGCAAAAAGTGATGAGACAGATATCTTGAGGCCAAGTATGAAAATCAGTTATGCTGATCACTAGTAACTCTTCTTAGCTATAGTAGATATAATTTAATATTTAAAACCATATTACATATTGGTTTCAAGAAAAGAGCACAAAATTTTTTTTAAAATATATCTTTATTGATTTCAGACAGAGGGAAGGAGAGGGAGAGAGAGAGAGAGAAACATCAATGATGAGAGACATCTATTGGCTGCCTCCTGCACGCCCCCGACTGGGGATCGAGCCTGCAACCTGGGCATGTGCCCTGACTGGGAATCGAACCCTGACCGCCTGGATCCTAGGTCAACACTCAACCGCTGAGCCATGCCTGGAGGGACAAGAGCACAAATTTTAAAAGGTTTACAAGCAACAGTATAAAAAAATGTCCTGAGAAAAACAGATGTCATCTTAATCAACTATATAATAGAGTATTGTTTATTAATATAAGGTTTTAAATTTGTGTTGTGTTCTGACTTCCGTGTCTAGCTTCCAGAAGTACAGTTTACAGAGGAAGAAGAAGCAATCAAGTTAAGCCTAATGGAGAACGAACCACTGTCTCCTGAAATCCTCGACCCAATTCTTTCTGAGTGGTGGTTTAAGGAACCAATCCGGTATCTTAATTTATATAGACTTATACATTTATTGACTTTTATTTGCCTTATTCTTGAAAGCTTAAAATGTAATCCAACATAAATTTAAGCGTTTTCTCCTTTATTCTCATGTAAATTAGTGATTCTATACATTAAAAACACCTGAGGAATTATTTTAAAAATACTGATGCCAGGCCCCAACCCAAAGCAGTTGAATCAAAATCTTTAGGGATATGAGGTTGGGACGCAGGCATTGGTATTTTTGAGGGCTCCCTGGGTGATTCTAATATGTAGTTGTAGTTGAGAATCCATAATCTAAACCCATTTACACTAATGATGCGCCAGACTCTTTTCCTTGTTGCCTTTTGGTAATTACAGTTGAGAACACTTAATAGCTGTCCATAGTGTTATCCCTTAACGAAAAGCCAAGAACAAGCCTGACCCCACAGAGTACAAATTTAAGAATCTCCAGGTCACCAGAATTTAAAACTTCACTTCATTTCCCTAAACCAGAATCTCTTGCATTGGTATCTATCAGAAGAAAGTGAAATTATATTTACAGTACTAATAGCAGACACTTAAATGGAACTTACTATGTGCCAAGTACTGTTCTATATTTTATTAATATTAATTTACTTAATCTTACTACTACCCTATGGGATAGAAACTTTTATTATCTCATTTTAGAGATAAGGAAACTATATCAGAGAATTCAAATAATCAGTCCCAGTGCTTCTCTGGACACTCGCTTAGTCCCTGCCCTAAATGAGTGAGTGGGTTTATTGGTCATCAACTTCCATTTTAATTTCCTGTTTTCTAAATTAGATCAGTAGTTGTAGTAAACTTAGGTAGGTTGCCCGAAGCAACAGTTATGAGTTGTTATTCACTGATTTGGCTCCTGACCTCACACCATACATTAAAAAAAAAAGCATGTGGGTTGAAGAATTAAAAGTTAAATGTGAAATTGTAAAAGCCTAAATAAAATAACAAAATATTATGCAGCCACTAAAAAGTGTTATAGCATAAGAAATGTTATCATATAATGGTAAGTTAAAAAAGAAGATAATACAACATTTTAAAAATGGTATTGTATTAGTCCTGGAAAGATATTAATAATAAGGGCCAGAACTCAGGTGTAGTGTTAGAAATGGAAATGTGGATACAGACATTTCCTGGAAATGAGGGCACGGCAGGACTTAGCTGTTATATGTGAGAACCAAGAGGGAATTGAGGGAGCAGTCCAAATGTTTCTGAAGTTTGCCACCTGAATATTTGTGAGTTAGAAGGAAGAGCAGTGTGGAAGAATAACAATAATTATGACTTTTGACAGTATGATGCATATTTAATTCCTGACAGGCACTCGGAGAAACTAAGCAGCTTTTTGAAAATTCTGAATTGAAACTCAGAACAGAGGTTGGGTGTAGAGGTAAAGATTTAGAAGTCACTGACAAAGAAGTGACAGCTGTAACAGTAGGAATGAAATTGTTCCTCACAGAAGAGACAATGCTGAAGGCATCTCTAAACAAAAGGTCATGTTTTATGGCCATTTTATGGAAATTTTCCCATTTAATGAGATAGAAAACATTTTTAAATGCCAGTTAAAGGCTGAAACTGTCAAATGTTCATGAAAGTCCTGTTCATATTAAGAAGAAAACATATATCTAAATATAAATATTTAAACAAACCAAATTTTAGATAAGCAGGATAAACGCTCATTCAAAAGGGGACCAATATTGACTTTCTCAAGCAAAGCTGAGTACTCAAAACCAGATTGTCTTATAGTTAGTTACTCCACAATAAAAATGTGTTAACATTCCAATCATTTTCATGATTCTTTAAGTTTCATCATACTCAAACAAGTTTGATAATCCTATTTTGTTATAATTGTCTTAATACATATGAGTCAGGATGCATACATAAATAATTGCCATGAGTTACAAGGGTACCCAGGGAAGAAGGTATGAATTGTCTTATGAAAGAAAGCATCACTAAAAAACTACTGGGAAGGGTGGCTTCCCATTAAAGGTGGGCTGGCCAAACCCACCTTTTTATAAAGGGTGAAAAGTTCATTAGGCTGGGTATTCCTCCCAGGCAGAGAATTTATTTTCTCTTAATTTTCATCAAATATTAAAACTATTTACAGTTAAAGAGAACTTATATGTACTATAAGTATAAAATATTATAATTTTAATCTAATTGAATACATTTGAGAAAAGATACATCATGCTTATACAAGTAGAAATATTTAAAAACTCTAAAAGATACTATTTTTTAAACTACTCATTGCACATCTTATATAAAGATTTATCAGTAATTTTTTCATTTTTAAATCAATAATTATAATGTAATATTTTAAGTAAATTATGAAATTTACACCTAGTTCCACAGGTTTTATATTAGATGGTTTCCCACGATATCTTGACGAGGCCCAGTTTCTGGGGGAACATGGATTTTTCCCAGATGCTGCTGTTTTATTACAAGTTGATGATCAAGAGATTTCTGATCGCCTCCTGCCTCCCCAAATTGAAAAGTGGAAACTGAAACAGAAGAAGAAATTAGAAAGGAAAAAACTCATTAAAGAAATGAAGACAAAAATCAGGGTATGTATCTCATTAAAAAAGTATGAGAGTAAATTTTTTCAGTAGCTATTCTATGTATAAAGTGATCTTTACAAAAATTTAGTTTTCTGATTTTAATACCACTGTCAATATGAAAACACTTTTCATCAAATATTAAGAGTATTTATACTTAAAGAGTTAAGATTTATTTGTAGCCTATGTGATTATCAACATATTTATGCTTCTCTCTCAAAGGCAAATAAAATTAAAGATTGTGGTAGTACCAGAGTATCCCTATACCAGACAAAGGAGCATACAAGAGGCAGCAAGCGAAGCAGGCCTTGAAACACAAAGAATTAAAATTATCAGTCGTTTTTTCACTAGCTCCTGGAATTACAACACTATTTATGGAGGCCATGTAAGCCTATAGTGAAACAGATCCATATACTAGCTTAAACATCTTTTCTAAAACTGTAATGTGAGGAGTATTTCATAAAATGTTCAAAAGTGTCATAAGGAACCCAACAGTTCTACCCTAGGAATCTGTATAACAGAAATAAAAGCATATTCACATAAAAATTTATATATAAATGTTCATAATAGCATTATTCATAATAGTCAAAAAGTAGAAACAACCCAGTATCCATCAACTGATGAATTGATAAACTAAATGTGGTAGACATCCAGATAGAGTGCCCTGACTTCTGGCCCAAGATGGAGACATAGAAGCCTCTTGAATGCACCTCCTCCCATGGATGCACTGAATCTATATACAAAGCAGTTCCCTCTGAAGGAAACAGAAACTAGCTGAGTTTGTACCTTTTACTTCTACAATTGGGAGAACAAGATAGTACCCATGTCACACACATCAAAACAGCCGCTACCTGAAAGTCTAGCTTCCCATCAGCCTGTGCTGACTGAAGCCTTCCCTTTGGGACGCTAATGGGTTGTAGCACACCCTCAGCTACTGAGAGGTAGCGTGGACATTCACAAAGGTTTGAGGGACAGCCATGAACTTGGGCCAGGCTGATCAATAAGGTTAATCCTCTACCAAGACTACTCTGTCAAGACTGGGAGAGGTGTCTGTTTTATTTAATGTGCAGAAACCAACACAGAGAGTCAAAGAAAATGAAATAAAAGAATATGTTTCAAACAAAAGAACAAGATAAAACTCCAGAAACAGAACTTACTGAAATAAGTGATTTACCTGATAAAGAGTTCAAAATAATGGTCATAAAGGTGCTCAGCAAGGTCAGAAGAACAGTGAATGAACAAAATGAGAGTATCAACTAAGAGAAAGAAAATATAAGGAAGTGCCCAGCCGGGAGTGGCTCAGCCAGTAAGCATTGACCTAGGACCTGGGAGATCGCAGTTTGATTCCTGGTCAGAGCACATGCCCAGGTTGTGGGCTTGATCTCCAGTTGGGAGCGTGCAGGAGGCAGCCAATCAATGACAACTCTCTCATCATTGATATTTCTGTTTCTCTCCCTCTCCCTTCCTCTCTATGAAGTCTATGAAGATATATATATTTTTTAAAATTAAAAAGAGCCCAGCCGGGCGTGGCTCAGCAGTTGAGCGTGGACCTAGGATACAGGCGATCAGGGTTCGATTCCCAGTCAGGGCACATGCCCGGGTTGTGGGCTCAATCAATGGCTCTCTCATCATTGATGTTTCTCTCTCTCTCTCTCTCTCCTTTCCTCTCTCTGAAATCAATAAAGATATATTTAAAAATAAAATAAAATTAAAATTAAAAAGAAAATATAAGGAAGTACCAAACAGAAATCAAAGAGTTGAAGAGGACAATAACTGAACTGAAAAATTCAGTAGAAGAATTCAATAGCAGAGAATACAGAGCCCAAAAATAGCCCCACACACATATCATCAATTAATTTACATCAAAGCAGCTAAGGATATACAATGGGGAGAGGACAGTCTCTTCAGTAAATGGTGGTGTTACAACTGGGCAGCCACATGTAAAAGAATGAAACTGGATTCCTATCTTACAACATACACAAAAGTCAACCCAAAATGTATTAAAGACTTGAACATAAGAGTTGAGACCATAAAACTCCTAGAAGAAAACAGGGTAAGCTCATTGACATTGATCTTGGCAATGGGTGTTTTTCTGGGGGGGATTTGACATCAAAATCAAAAGTCACCAAGTGGGACTACACCAAACTAAAAAGCTTCTGCATGGCAAAGGAAACCATCAACAAAATGAAAAGACAATCTACTGAGTGGGACAAAATATTTGCAAATTATGTATCTGATAAAGGGTTAAAATCCAAAATATATGAAGAACTTACACAACTCAATATAAAAAAACACACAAACCAGTTAAAAACAGACAAATGAACTGAGCAAACGTTTTTCCAAAGAAGGCATACAAATGGCTAATAAGCGCATGAAAAGGTGCTCAGCGTCACTATCATCAGAAAAATGCAAATCAAAACCACAATCAGATATCACCTCACAGTTGTTAGAATGGCTGTTATCAAAAGACAGGAGATAACAAGTGTTGGCTAGGCTGTGGAGAAAAGGGAACCCTTTGTACTGTTGGTGGGAATGTAAACTGGTATAGCTAGTGTGGAAAACAGTATGGAGGTCCCTCAAAAAATTTAAAATAGGACTATCATATGATCCAGTAATCCCACTTCTAGGTATATATCCAAAGGAAATGAAAACAGGACATTGAGGAGATAGCTGCACTCCCACATTCATCGCATTACTATTCACAGTAGCCAAAATATAAAAACAACCTAAGTGTCTGTCAAAGGATGAATGGATAAAAACAAAAAAAGATGTGGTGTTTACATATATAATGGAATATTATTTGGCCATGAGAAAGAAGGAAATCCTGCCATTTGCAACATGGGTGGACCTTAAGGGCATTTTGCTAAGTGAAAGAAGTCAGACAGAAAAAGACAAAACTGCATGGTATCACCCTACATGTAGAATCTAAATAAGTCAAATTCATAGAAACAAGTAGAATGGTGGTTGCCAAGGCTTCGGAGTTGTGGGAAATAGGGAGAGTTTTGTAAGATGGTACAAGCTTTTAGCTATAAGATCTATAAGATCTGAGGATCTAATGTATACCACAGTGACTATAGTTGATTACACCCTATTGTATTGTATAATTGAAATGTGCTAAGAGAGTAGAACTTAAATGTTGTCACCAAAAATATATATATATATATAAATATGTGAGGTAATAGATATTTTAAAATGGGAGGAGTCCTTTCATAACGTATACATATATCAAATCATCACTATATACACTTTAATTATCCTACAATTGTATAAAGCTGCATAAGTAAAGTGGTACATCCATATAATGGCTACTACTCAGTATTAAAAAGGAATGAACTCTTGCTACACCCTACAGTGTGGATAATTATCAAAATCATTATGCTAAGTGAAAGAAGCCAGGTCAAAAAAAATACATACTATACGATTAATTACATTTATATGACATGTCTTAAAATGGCAAATCTATAGATCTGGGCTGGGGTAGAAATAATGGAGCTTTTAAATCTGGAACTAAGATGGAACATGAGAGCAGTGTTAAATTATTTGAAGGGCTTTCATGCTGAAGAGAGTTTGTAGTAGTTTCATGTGGCTGCAAGGGAAGAAACTACCATTAGCAGGAGGAAGGTACAGAGAGAGATATTTTATTAGTAGTAAGAGTTTCCAAAAAGTACCAAGACTGAAGGCAATGAGCTACTTACCAATAGATAAGTGTAGACAGAATGGACATTTGGCAGGGATAGTATGGAAGAAACCTCACTGTAGTGTCAGAGAGCTGATCAGTTCATTCCAATTCTGAGATTCTGTAAGTTAGTTAATATATTTTCACAACTCAGTATCCATTAAATTATAGACCAAGTGTTAAAACCATAACATTTCTCTTTTTTTGTTTGGACAAAGTTGGCAAATTCTTTTCATCTTGGGGTTAGCCAGAGGAAATTCCTTCAAGGGCATTGCCATTCTTCCCTCTGCTCTACCACACTAAGATTGTATGTCCCAGGCCATCTGTATGCCACCCAGAATAAAGGCAAGCTGAGCTCTGAGCCATCCATTAAAATTTTTAAATGTCTCTTTTTCTAATAGGATGATATGATTGCTAAAAGAAGGGCTGAACTTATAGCAGAGAAAGAGAAAAAAAAGAAAGAGGAGGTAAGTAAATAAGATTTAAAAAATAAAAAAGCAGGACACCCATTGTGTGTGTGTGTGTCAACAGTATAAAATAAAAAGGTGCATAAAAAAAAAAGTCTTGAAGGAAATACAGAGATTCTGTGCAAGTAGTGAGATTATATATCATTTTTATTTTGTATACCTTTTGTTATTCTATAACTGATTACAATTCCCTTTTTTTATTTTTGAAATCAGAAAAATGAACACTTTTAAAGGAAAGAAAACCACTAGAGATGTTTAAGTAATCTGATACATAATATTATACTCCATTAAACTATGCTTCTTTTGGAATTATAGTTTTGCTTTCACACTTCTAGCTCATGCCATAGGAGTTGGGCTGGGAGCTTGGAATTGAGATCCAGACAGACAGCCTGCCTGTGAAACTGCTTTAACTAAAATATAGATTACCTCGAGATAAAGGATGCTATACGGCAGACCTGTGAACCCTGAGCCATATACTGTACAGGATGCTCAATACAGCTGCTTCTCTCCATCTGCTGATGTTTGAAAAAAACATAAACCTTGAAGATTGTGGATTTTGTTTTGTTTAGAGAGGAGCTATTCCCAAATTGACCTTGCTGACTCAAACACTGCAGCCAAGCTTGCTCAGGGGTACAGGAGTTAAAGAGAAGTTGTGACTAGACCAGCTAGTTCTGCAAAGGACCCGAAGCTCATATTTATACAATCAGCTTGCAAGTAACCCTTGTAACCAAAGCAAACAATAGGATAGTCTCTGCCTTCTTCCATTTCCATCTGGTTTAAGGCACCCTTGTAACATCTTTTCAAGGCTGACTCTTCTGTAATCTGATTTCCATCTGTATAAAAATTTAACTCAACAAAAGAGAAATAACAGAAAATAGGGCTGGCTACACATGCAACCATGTATCACACTCAGTTTATGTACAGAGGACTCGTGATGCCATACAACTGCAACTGTGGGTCAAAATATTGCAGAAGAGGGGCCAGAACAATTATTCTTTTGTCCAAAGTATTTACAACCAAAAGTTGATATAAAACCAAAGTTATGGGAAAGTTATGGCTCCATCTAAGGAATAAGAACCCTCTTCTTTTGTTTTGATCTTCATTCATCCAGTCAGTTCATCGCAAGCCTTAATTGAACATTCACTATGTGCCTGACACTGTTTCAGACACTGGAGAATCAGCCCTGAACAGAATTCACAGAAGCCTCTGGCTTCGTTCTAATGCTCATTCCCTGAACAAACATGTTCTGAAATTCTACTCTGTTGAAGGAGTCATGCTAATATTTAGGATAAAAAAGATAGGCATCCTTACCTGGGATCAACCACAGTTAACTACCTTTAGCCCTTGGGAGTCCTTAGTGGTTCCCTTAAGAATCACCTAAAATGTCTCAGGGCATATTGATTACAGATGTTGTAATTGACCAAACTGGTATAATCTCTCCAGTTCTTTCTGAATTTGTTCATTGATGGCTACCCAGTGCCTAATATAGTGCTAACACATAGTAGGCACTCAACTTACAGTTGTTTTATTGCAGTTGTATAATATTGAGCATTACTTTATCTCTCTGAGCATAGATTTTTTCATTAGAAAATGGGAAAATTTAATAATACCTAGCTTTTCTAACTAATAATACTTTAATTTTCCTTCTTTGTTATTCTTTAGTTAAATCTTCTTTTCCCTAAGAGAATTACTTTTCAGGATAAATTTTAAATGTTCTTAAATTATATCTTTTCCATTTGTTAACATTAGAATAAGGAGATTCTTATTATTTTTCATTCAAAGATTCAATATTCCATCTTATAAATTAAATGGGTTTTTGTAAGTTAACTTCCCTGAAACTTAATCTTTTATGAAATTGGCTGTGTATCCCACACAATTAATTTATACAAACTGACTTTTGGAAGACAGTTCCTGAAATTTGGGATGAATCAAAGATTAAAACTGTGTACTTGTTTCAACTCCTTTGATGGGAATTTTATGTGTCCTGCTACTGCCTCAGACAAAGAAAGACTAAACAAAATATAGCATCTCAAGGATCACTTAGTGTGATTGCTATAATCAGTTAATGTGACACCCTGAGTTGAATCCATCCTGACTACATAGACCCTGGAGCTGGCTTTTATGAACAGAAATAGGGGCCTTCTCATTTGCTTCTTTTTGCAGAATATGCAGCTCCATAACCTTTTTGCAACTGATTGAGGAACCATATGTAGATAAAGCCTTACCCAGGGTTGTCCACTCACTCTTAACAGAAGTCATTGCCTTTACCATCTGACTTTTTAGCAGCAAATAAAACATTTTAACATTAGAAATCACTTCAAAGTCTCAAGGTGACTGCTTGCATTAATTTCATAGGAAAATGTCGCCATCGTGTGGAACTTTAGTCTCCAAATGTGGCTAAAGCATATTTTATAAGCCAACCCCCTTCATCCTGAGATTTACACTGCATGTCTTCTGCCTCCTCAGAGGCCTTGCTTCTACCTTACTCCTCGCTCCATAATCTTGGCTCTCTTCCTGCCCACTGGCTCCTTCTCTGGTGCTTTGTCCCTTCTATAAAATGTAGAGCAGCCACAGCAGGAGAAAGGAAGAGCCAGAATGGGGAACCAGGGCAAAATTTTGCAAGTAAGCAAAATTGTGTGATGCTATGCCCAGGTGAGTATTTAATAGAGATACATACTCTAAGTACTGAGGTGCGCACAAGTTCATCTGAAACTAAAATGTCCCCAGCTGGTAGTGTGGGCTCATCCCACCACACTTCAAATGATCTTTAGAAAATCAAATCTCAGGATTAAAAATTGTCAAAGTATGAGAAAGAGAGAAAAGTAGCAAGAGGACCAAATGGTTTCAAAGTTTTAATAAAAAGAACCAGAACTGAGAAACTATCCCATTGCTAAGCTCCTTTTGTAAAGAGAGGGAGTGTAGACACAGAGCAGGAATAAGCCCTTATCTTCTCATCTTCCCCCCTGCACTTCAAGTTCAAATCTCAGTTCCAGACGCCTTTTAAAGACACTAGGGTCTAATCAGGAAGATTAGGAAATATCAAGCTAATCAGACGGCTATAGGCAAGAGACGAGAGAGCAAACAGTGGAGTGAGAGCACAAAGGATGAGCGTTATTTCAGATGATAGTCCTTGGACACTGGATATTCAGAGATGGAGTGCAAGGAGTCAGGATAACTTTCAGGTTTCCAAGTGGGAGACAGTGCTCTAACTAAGACAAGGAATACTTCAGGGGGAGGCGTTTAGAGGCAGTGCAGAAGAATCCATATTATAGGGCTCAGTATGCAAACTGAACTATAGCACATGCGGCCTACACAACACCACTTAGTATCAATATCCTGTCACAGTCTTTAATAATCATTTATATATTATTCTTGTTTCCTCGGATAGGCTGTAACCTCCTAGAGGACATGTTCTGTTCTATTAGCCCAGTGCTTTATACACAGTGACAGTCATAGCTATAACAGCAATAATAGCTATCATTTGCATGCCTACCATATGCCAGAAACTTTTCTAAGGGCTTTACATGTATTAACTTTAATGTCCCCAGTAACCTTGTGAGGTGGGTACTTTTATTATTCCTATTTTACAGTTCAGGGAACTGATCTTGTCCAAGTCAACACAGATAGTGAGTGCTTTATACTCTTTGGATTGCATTAAATATTTTTACTGAAGACCATCAAAAACATAACATTCTGACAGCCATAGACATAAATAGCATTTAACATCTTGTCTATTTATTTATGGGATCACTATGGTGTCAGAGTCTTAAAGGTATTAAATTTCTGGGTGTGAGATATTTAAATTTTACTATTAGATGAATGTTACCTGCCACAACAACTAAGATCCAGTGATTACAAAATATTCCAGTTAGCACTGTCATTTGTTACATATTTTGTAGGTATGGTAAAAGGGAATATTTTCTTCCTTAGATTGTTAAAGAAGATGAAGAAATTAGTGAAGAAGAGCTTGAAGATGAAGATGATGATGTTGACAATATCCTCGAAGAGGAGTTTCCAAAAGAGGAGGAAGCGATGAGTGAGGAAGAAGACGAACAGGAAACTGATGCACTTGAACGCCTAAAAGGTGAACTGGGAGAAAAATTTGAAACAGAGCTGCATAATTTACAAGCAATACAGGTTATTAATTTTTCTTCATTTTTCATAACTCACAAAGTGACATTTGAGTATGAAACAAAAGAAATTTGGTTTATGCTTTGGTTTCTTTTTAACATTTCAAAAGAAATGTATTTTAGGGCTGTATTCCCTTTTGTCAGCACTACTACTTACAATTATGAAAACAAGTTAATAAGGGCAACATGGAAGCCACACAGGGTCAAAGGTTCTAGCCGCTGACATGCAGTCACACAGAAGCTAAAAAATATCTGTGCTCTAGACTTACATAGTGAGCCACCAGCAATATCTGTGCGCTGCCACTGGATACTGCCAGCCTTCTTCCCACTAAAAATATTTGGTTTTATGGTTTTTTTCATCAGGAGGAATTTGAGAAGTTATCGATACCAGTAATTCCCATTAATGGAGCTCGGAAAATCCGCATTGTACAATATGTGTTGAATACAAAACTGAAACCACTGGTGGAGAATCGTGCAAGCATTTTTGAGAAGTGTTATCCGATATCAACACACCTTGCCCAGAAACTGCTCAGCTTTACCTATAAATACATTAGCACATTCGGCTACCGGGACCCTGTAAAGGTAATGTCAGGAATGTGACTTCTGAAAGCCATGTTCTTTTATTTAATTTTTAAAAGCATGTCTAAGACAGTGGATAACTTAAAAAATTGTAAGCATTGCACAGTATTCTTTTTTTTTTTAATCCCAACCCGAGGAAATGTTTTTATTTATTTTAGAGAGAAAGGAAGGGAGAGGGAGAGAGAGAGAAATATTGATGTAAGAGAAACATTGATCAGATGCCTCCCACACATACACTGACTAGGGATCGAACAACCAGGGATCGAACCCACAACCTGGGTATGTGCCCTTCCTGGGAATTGAACCCAAGACCTTTTGGTGTAGGGACTTCACTCCAACCAACTGAGCAACACCAGCCAGGGCCAGTATCCTTTTGCCTTTCTAAAGTAGGAGAAGTAGTTTAAAGGTTTAATTTCTTTTATTTCTGTAGAGAAAACCCAGTTCCAACTTGGTTTTATCTTTGTAGCAGGAGAAGATGATAGTGGAAATATTTTCAAACTAAACATCTAGAGAGCTGAAGTCTGATACTAATTTGCTGTCTAATTTTTTCGGCAAGACATTTAACCTTTTTTATTCTGTTTCCTCACCTGTAAGATGGAAGAATAATGCCACCAAGCCACTGTGATCAGATGTAAGAGTATAAAGTCCTCTGGAAAGTGTGAGACACAACGCAAAATGAGCCATCAGTGTTAATAACAAAATTATTTCTAAGTACTGTATTTTTATGCATTGTTTACAAATAGATTTAATCCAGCTGGAATTCAATAACTTCAATTGTGGGATGATGTTTTCAGTTCTAATTTTTTAAAATTTGCAGTTGACATTCAATATTATATTAGTTCCAGGTGTACAGCATAGTGGTTAGACATTTATGTAACTTACAAAGTGATTCCCCCAATAAGTCTGGTACCCGCCTGACATCATACATAGTTATTTCAGTATTATTTACTATATTCCCTATGCTATAATTTACATCCCTGTGACTACTTTGTAGCTGCCAATTTGTACTTCTTAATCCCTTTACCTTTCTCCCCCAGCTCTCCAACTCCCCCCTCACATCTTGCAACCATCAGTTTGTTCTCTGTTTCTATGAGTTTGTTTCTGTTTTGTTTGTTCATTATTTTGTTTTTTAGATTCTCTATATAAGTGAAATCATTTGTTATTTGTCTTTCTCTGTCCGATTTATTTCACTTAGCAAAATACCCTCTAGGTCACAAATGGTAAGATTTCAATTTTTAATGGTGGAGTAATATTTCACTGTGTATATGTACCGCATCTTCTTTATCCAGTTGTCTATTGACGAGCACTTTGGTTGCTTTCATATATTGGCTATTGTAAATAATGCTGCATTGAACATGGGGTGCATATATCTTTTTGAATTAGTGTTTTGGATTTCTTTAGATAAATGTCCAGAAGTGGGATCACTGGGTCATAAGGTAGTTCTGTTTTTAATTTTTTGAGGAATCTCCATACTGTTTTCCACAATGGCTGCACCAGTTTGCAATCCCACCAACAGTGCACAAGGGTTCCGTTTTCTACATGTCCTCACCAACACTTGTTGTTTGATGATTTATTGATGATAGCCAGGATGGTTTTCAACAAATCTTAACCAGGAACATGCCAGCCACTGTCTAGTCCCTAGGAATAAAGTAGTGAACAAAAAAGACAACGTTTCTGCCCTGGCCAGTTTGGCTCAGTGGATAGAACGTTGGCCCACAGACTGAAGGGTCCCAGGTTTGATTCCGGCCAAGGGCATGTACTTCAATTGCAGGCTCAATCTCCAGCCCTGGTTGGGCACATGCAGGAGGCAGCCAATCAGTGTGTCTCTCTCACATCGATATTTCTCTCTGTCTCTGTCTCTCCCACACTCTTTGAAAAGCAATGGAAAAAATATCCTCAGGTGAGGATTAAAAAAAAAAAGACATGGTTTCTTCTATTGTGGAGCTTATATTCTAATTAGGTTGGGGAAGGGTATTTAATAAATCAACAGATTCTTGTCAGATAGTATTAAGCACTATAAAGAAAATAAAAGAACATCATCTAGTAGTGATTTACTCAACCAGGTTACCTTTATATTTCTATCGGTGATGTAGCACAGTGGAGAAGACCATTGCCTCTGGAGCCAGACTGCCTGAGTTCAAAACCACCGCTTACTAGCCGAGTGAACTTGAAGAAATGACTTAACCTCTTTGATCATTCCCATTAATACAGTGGAAATAAGAATAGTCCCTACCTTAAAATATTGTTACAGTGATTAAATGAGTTAATTACTATAAAGTGCTTACAACAGTGCTTGGTTTTTTGTAAGCACTCAATGAGTTGTTATTAATATATTTTATTATTACTGGTCACTGATAAAAAGTATTTTGGTGGATAGGTCCAAATGAAGCCATGTGCATGTTACTTGAAACCTCCTTCTTGGTTGATATTGACAGTTTCAATTATACTTAATTGTGCTGTCTTCTTTATCTTAACCATAAGAGAAACCTTTTCAGACATCATGCTAAAGTATAAAAATACTGTGACAGTTTCCTCCATAGAGAATTGAATAGAGTTAAGCATGTATTAGAATCACCTGGAAAGCTTATGAAAAATAGACATGCCCTAATGTTCTCTCTGAGATAGGTAAGATAGGGAAGGAAGCAGACAAAAGTCAGAAGCCTATTTAGGGGGAAAAAGGAGCCCATGTCCAGACATACTTAGGACTGTACAAAAATGCCTTGTGGAGAAATGAGTGCATGGTCATAGGAAGGGTTTAAGCATATAAGGAATCATTTGTCAGGGCTGTTAAGAATCTTTCTTGGCACCTGACAATTTGATATTTCTGATTTGATGACACCATGAGTATTAGTGTCATCCTACTGTAAGGATTCACACTTAATTTGGGAATTTGAAATGGAACCATTGAAGTTTCAGCTTTTCTTTTATTACCAAGTATAAAACATAGACCAGACATTCCCACCCCATTCCTGAGTTTCCCCCTATCCAATCACTTTTTCCCAGCCATGAATATCACTCCAGCCCAAGAACCATAATGTTGACAATACCATTGACTGCTGACAACTGTCCTGGTGTAGCTCTAGGGAAGGAATGATGTTACCATACTGTTTCACATCGACTCCAGGGTGGCTGATGCTTGGCCATCTGATGCTGTAAAAAATACATACCTAGCACCAATTATACCCAGCTCTCATCACCACCAATGCAAAGATGTGGGACTACTCTCCCACTCCATTCCTTCCGTACACCTTAGGCTGCCTTTTAAGTGGACTTTTTCCTTTTGTGGCTGCTATTGATTATGTGAGTGGGATTTTGTCTGTATAAAAATATGGGAAAGAAGTTTGTGGGATTTGTCCTACCAGAATACCCTAAAAGATAACCCAGGCCCCCACCTGTCTACTCAGGCTGCCATAACAGAATACCACAGACTGGTGGCTTCAACAGCAGAAGTTTATTTTCTCACAGTTCTAGATACTAAAAGTCTAAGACCAAGGTACAAGCAGGGATGGTTTTCTGGTGAGGCCTCCCTTTCTGGTTTGCTGATGACCACTTCTCCCTATGTCCTCACACAGCCTTTCCTCTGTGCTCATGCACTCCTGGTTTCTCTTCCTCTTCCTATAAGGACACCAGTCCTGTTGGTTTAAGGCCCCACTCTTATGACTCATTTAACCTTAATTACTTCCTTAAAGGCCAGTCTCCATATACAGTAACTTTGGATGGTAGGCTTTTGACCTATGCATTTGGGGGAACACATTTCCATCTATAACATTACATTAGGAATGGACCTATGTGTAAAGATAAATTTGCCCATGAATATATCCAAACAACTTCATACTCCTTGGCAGAAACATTGAATATACACACTAAAGACATTATAAAGGAGCCCTAGCTGGTTTGGCTCAGTGGTTATGAGTGTCGGCCTGTGGACTGAAGGGTCCCTGGTTTGATTCTGGCCAAGGGCACGTGCCTCGGTTGCAGGCTCGATTCCCAGGCCCCAGCATGTGCGGGAGGCAACCAATTGATGTGTCTCTCTCACATCGATGTTTCTCTCTCCCTCCCTCTCCCTCTCTCCCTTCTACTCTCTGAAAAGCAATAGAAAAATTATCCTCAGGTGAGGATTAAAAAAAAAAAAGGCATCATCATATAGGAAATCAAAGAACTATAGTAGTCATAAACTGAAAGCCTTTTAAGAAAAATGACGTATGAGTATAACATAATTTGTTTTTTTACACAGGTTTTTAATATTAATGTTTATTATAATTATTTTTCTTATTCTATAAGAAAGTCTTGTTTTACAAATTCTTTTATTTTTAAATATATTTGGGGAAATGCTGTATAAATTAAAGCTAACTTCCAAATTTAATTGTGCATATATTACAGCTAAGTGAAGGAGAGACAATCAAGTCAACTGAAAATTCAGAGAATCCAGTTTATCCTGTAATCCATCGTCAGTATATTTACTTTTTATCTAGTAAGGAAACTAAAGAAAAATTTATGAAGAACCCCATAAAATATATTCGCCAACCCAAACCTAAGCCTAATATGCCCATTAAGATTGCAATTGTGGGGCCTCCAAAATCTGGGAAAACTACAGGTAAGGATGTGTTTGCCTTTGTTACCCATAAGCATAAAAGAATCCCCTGAAAAGTAGTGCCACTTCTCCAGGAAACCAAGTAATCAGGTTGACTCAGAAAAAGATAGAAAACCTAAATAGGCCAATAATCATTGGAGAGAAAGCATTCAAAAACATAGCTCTACTCCAAAACACCCCAGGATCATATGGTTTTAGAGGAAAATTATAGCAAACTTTCAAAGGGTTAGAAACTCAAGAGATCCTTCCTGTGTTGTGTTTTTTAATCCTCACCCAAGGATATGCTTACTGATTTTAGACAGAGGGCAAGGGAGGAAGAGGGGGTGGAGAGAGAGAGATTGATGTGAGAGAGAACATTGATTCATTGGATTGAACCTGCAACCTAGGTATGTGCCCTGACCAGGAATCAAACCGCCAACCTTTTGGTATGAGAGACGATGCTCCAACCAACTGAGCCACACCAGCCACGCCTCCATTCTGTGTTGTTGTTTTTAATGTGTTTTTATTGATTTTAAAAGGGAGGAAGGGAGAGGGAGAGAGAGAAACATTAATGTGAGAGAGAAACATTGATTGGCTGCCTCCTGCACGCACCCCCACCAGGGATCAGGCCTGAAACCCTGGCATGTCCCTGACCAGGAATCAAACCAGCGACCTTTCAGTGCACAGGGCGATGATCAACCAGTTGAGCCACACCAGCCAGGCCTTCCTATGTTTTTATAGGCTTTTCCAGATCAGGGGAAAGACAGCTTCCTGATGTATTTTAAATTTTGTTTTCTTAAGGACTATGGTCCATATAGTCTAAAACGAATAAAGAATACAAATTCATTTTTAAGTTAGCATAATCCTGATATCAAAACCTAACAAAAATAGTATAAGAAAAGAAATTACAAGCTAATATAACATAAACATAGTCAAATGACAGTATATTAAGATTATATTAGCATAAAAATTATATTCAAACATTTTGTAAGTATAACCTATTGTATTAATAGTTTAAAGAGTACAAATCTATCATAGTAATTGCTGCTGAACTGAATAAGGCATTTAGTAAACCATTCTTACAGTGTTTGAATTTTGTATAACTGTGTGTGTGTGTGTGTGTGTTTGTGTTTAAAGGCAAGTAGTCTAACAACAGGTTGCTGTAGTATTTCAAATTGACATGGTAACATGAACAGTTGTTGTGGCAAGAAGAATAGAATGGAAAGGACAGATATAGGAGATATTTAAAAGGAAAACAATGGACTTAATGACTCATAGCATAGAGAATGAGGGAAGAGAGAGGTCAAAGATCAATTTGTCAACAGGAAAAATAAATGAGAGTTTTGTGCTCCACCTCAGCAGTTGAAGTTTGTTTTGCCCACTTAAATTTCTTAACACAACAAGAGCCTTCAATAGTCATACTCTAAATGTTCACAGAGATAATGATATTTCCCAAATGAGCAAAACATTGACATTCAAAATAAGATCCCACCACCACAGCAAAAAATTAAAATGGAGACAAGACTATCAGATTTCTCATTCCTTGTGGAAGTAGAGATTAATTCTTTAACAAAATGTCAAACTGTAAAAGCTTAATTATTTTTAGAACATTAAAAAAGTAGGTCTGATTCCAGCATTTGTGGCAAAACTGCAGCTCTCACAGAGGTTTCCCTTTCAGGTGATCTTAACTATAGTCAGTTAATCTGAATTCCTGTGAGATGAGATGGGCTCTCTCAGTGTCCTCTACACATGGCTGTCTCCAGACAGTGATGAGGCAAGTTATATAGACTCTGACAGAGCATGCCCACATTTAATACTAGTTCCTGGGAGCCATTGCTTGGTCTCAGTCAGAAGCATAGGTGAGTCTTCTTCCAACCTATGGCAACATTTATGTGACCTTGGACAAATCATTCTATTTAATTGGGCTTCAGTTGTCTCATGTATCAAATTGGAATTTCAATATTCATTCTACCCATTAGGTGGAATAGTTGAAAATACCAAATAAAGTCACAGAAGCAAAATTGCCTCATATGCTGTAAAATGTCTAGTGTGCCATTATAATTTTAAAAAATTGTTTCCTGCCCAGCCGGGTGTGGCTCAGCCGTTGAGGGGTTGAACATCAGCCTAGGATCCAGGAGATCACGATTCAGTTTCCGGTCAGGGCACATGCCTGGGTTGCGGGCTCGATTCCCAGTCGGGGGTGTGCAGGAGGCAGCCGATCAATGACTCTTTCATCATTAATGTTTCTATCTCTCTCTCTCCCTCTCCCTTCCTCTCTCTGAAATCAATAAAGATACTTTTTTTTTTTTGTTTCCTAGAGGATTAACTGAGTTGTTTTGGACATAATACCAAATGTTAATAGTATACATAGGATGTAAAGCTCTCAATAATTTTGCCCTCATGTAAAGAAGGCAGAGAAAACTTCAATGTTGGTTGGGTTATGAGAAAAACCCACAGAGTTGGCTCAGTACCCACCCAGATCTATCAGCCACATACCTGAAGTAGTAATAATCATTGACCTTTGACATTATTAATTTAGTAAAATGTAGCAATTTTAATTCTCAAAATTTCTTTGAGAAATGTGGAGATTAGTTTGCTGTTGATATTAAGTGACCAGAATCTACAGCTAAGGTTAACTGATGGATTTGTGATATGGAGTAAGGTTAATGTTTTAATGTTTTTCAGTTGCCAAAAAAATTTCAAGTGAATATGGTTTAAAGCTTTTGTCCATAGGCAAAGCTTTGCGTTATGTATTAACCAACCAACCAGACACAGAGCTGGCACTTATGTTAAATTGGCATCTTCATAAAGGAATGACAGTACCTGATAAACTGGCTATTGAAGCCTTAGAAATATCTCTGTTGGAAAGTGCATGTAATACTGCAGGGTAAGTGGGGAACTTGAGGGGGTGGTTAACTCTTTCAAGAAATTATTCACTGGAATTTAAAACACCTTACGTAGGGTTTAAAGCTCTGTAAAAGGTGTGATCTGCTTGTCAAACTTTGGGCACCTATATGGTTACATATTTTAATTTTCTGTCAAGCTAAAACTTGGTTTGAACACTCATATGCCAGAATAACAAGCCACTTTACTCTCTGCAGCAACCCTGAGTTGTCCTAAGGCCCTGGTCTTGAGCCCAAGTCACTGATCTAGAATCCCTAATTTACTCAAAGCTGTTTTATGTTAGGAGCCTCCTTGCCCTTCCCTGCAGCTGGTCCTTAATCAAGTCCTTGGACAGTTCTCCTAATTGCAGTTATGAGGGAGCAGATTCTGGGGTGTCAGATTATTCCCCAGAGAAGGCTCTGGGACTTATGCAAGTTAAGTTACCTCCTCCCTGGGGTTCAGCCTTGCATACAAGAAATCTCAACAGTCCAGCCAGCGTGGCTCAGCCTTTGAGCATCGATCTATGATGCAGAAGATCTCTGTTCGTTTCCTGGTCAGGGCACATGTCCGGGTTGCAGACTTGATCCCCAGCAGGGGGCGTGCAAGAGGCAGCCAATCAGTGAGACTCTCATCTTTGATGTTTCTCTCTCTCTTCCTTGCCCTTCCTCTCTCTGAAATCAATAAAAATCTTTTTTTAAAAAAAGAAATCTCAATAAAAGCAATCTTGGTTGAGTTCCAAAAATACCAGGAGAGTGACTACCTATTTACTCTGAATTTCTCTAATCCTGAGGCCCTCTTGAGTGACCCTTCACAGGACAGAGAAGCTGAACTATTCTCCATTAAAGACAATGACAAGGACATCCCCATACATTATCTATTAGGCTGGCCTAGCTAGGTTAACTTAGGATCCTCTCGGCCATGGAACGTAGAAGTAGTTAGTGCCTAGAGATTTGGCTGGAGAGCACTGAGGGAGGACATCCTGTTACTCACTCCAAACCAGCCCTTCCTGATGACCATCAGCCAGAATTTCTCTGACTTTGGAGGCCATTCCTCCCAGAATTTGCAAACAGCCTTTATTTCTCCTCTCAGTTTGATAGTAACACTCCCATTACCTCAAACTGTTGGACTAACAAATTCTCCTTCATTTCTGCTCAGTGGCCTGATGGGTCCTGATCGCTTTATTCTCTCCCATATATTACAGGCCTCCTCTCACCAACTCTTTGTCTCCCCTTCCACACACCCCAGACTCCTCAATTGAATAACACAATATTCAGGGTATTATGTGTGTTATCTCTCGAATCTTGCCAAAACCTAGCTCTATAATGCTAAGTGTCTGAGTTCAGAGCTGTGCTCCTATGTATTTTGCCCTCCTCCTGGGCCTTGGGCTGACTGAGATTAAAAATATAGAGATAAAGAGAGCAGAGTGCAAAGAAGGTAAATCAGGTTACAGAAGGAAGAGCATGGGCCTAGTCTTGAAGAGATAGACTGGTTCTGGAAGGCAGGAAGGAAGGCATGAGGAAAAAGAAATCTGGAATTCTTATTTTCATGTTTCTCCTTGTTAGTGTTGTCATCGATGGATATCCTGTAACTAGTTATCAAGTGAGTCTCTTGGAAACCAGGTCAATAATCCCCCTGATCATCTTTGAGTTAGATGTGCCCTCCAAGGAGATTTTCAAAAGATTGCTCCTAGAGAAAAAAAAGGAACAAAGGTAATGGATGTGATAAAAACAGTGATTAAGGAATGAACTTTAATCATCCAGAAAAAAAGTATGTTTTAAATAGCGTTTTCCATTCCTTCTCTATTTCTCTATTAGTTTGCCTTATCCATTACACAATAGCACACAGATTACAGCTGTCAAGAACTCAAAGTACCGCAAAAATGTTGTTGAGATTAGGCAATATTATCAAGAACAACATCAGAACTGGTATGTGATTGATGGATTTCACAGCAAATGGTGGGTGTGGAATGAAGTTATAAAGAACATTAAAGTGGTGCATAGATACATGCAGATATACCTGGAAAGAATAAAAGCAGGTAAGAAAAACAGTTAACTGTTAAACTAGAATAAAATATGAATTTAAAGTCTACACATGCATGGCTCATGTTACTATAATTCATTCAATTTGAACACTTGTTCCCACAATTTTAATCAGTATTTAAAATATATAGTACTATCCAATTTTTATGGGCATATATAGTTGTTCTAATAAATGACTTGCTACTCAAGCTATCATTTGCGTGCCCATGTGAACCTAGCACATAAGTAATACGTAGTTTCTCACTAGAAGAGTTTATGGTGTTTGCGATGCTATATAAGAAGCTAGTTTCAAGAATTGTAGTTATGTGAGGCAGTGGTCTGTGGAGTGACACTTGTCAAAATTTTGTTTAGAAATCTAGAATTAAAATTATTCCTACTGTTTACATTCACTATGGTATTATGTAAATGTTGAGTCTATAAAAAATTAAACTTGAGCACAAAATGTCTTTTCATCTACATTTGGAATCCATGAAAGAAAATGTTTGATTATATAGTCCTAGAAGTTTCTTGATTACACAAAACAGAGGAAAAATTATCTACACCTGATATCTCTAAAAACAGTGATGACTTCAAGCAGTTCATCTGTAGGGATCTCACAGACATCTGCGTAATGACTGTTTAACTTTGGAGATTAACTATAGAGTAGAAGATATAAAAAGGTATGAGAGCAGTGTGACTAAGAATCTTGTACAAGATTGCAGGGAGAATACTAATGGTAAATATATCTTTGAATCTTGACTTGATTCATTATTTGGGCATAACTAGTATCTCTGGTTCCTGTTTATCTGCAGATTGGGAATTTGTTTTCACCTGAGTATTTATTGTAAGTCATAAGATAAGAATGCAATCGAAGGAAGAATTGAGTTTTTAGAAACCTACTCCCAATAAGTTTTAGATAGCATCACAAATTCCACAACAGACTTTGAAAGCAAAAATCATGTCTCATTTATTTTTCTGTTACCTTATCTCACCCTCCCTGCCTTAGATTGAGTTCCCTGGGAACAGACTCAAGATGAAAAATTATATGCAGAAACTTCATCAGAAAGTAGACTCGGGAGTAGGGATGTCTCTAATAGTGTCAACAATAAAAAATAAAAATAAATACAAAGAAGTCCATGAAAAAAGAAAGAAGTCTCAGGAGTAGAGTTGCCAGACTTAGAAAATAAAAATACAGGATGCCCAGTAGAACTTAAATTTCAGATAAACAACAAGTAAATTTTTAGTATACAGTACGCCTCAAATATTACATGAGACATACTGTATCTTGCCTGCCAACCCTTATCAGGAGATCCCCCTGTGGGGAAGTGAGGACAGTAGAATTGGGCAGAGGGAAAAACTAAACTACAGTGCAGTGGAAATGGAAGCCTCAGCAGATCCTATAGGAGGAGCATCAGAGCTTGGATGGATTTTCAGAATTTCCCAAATTGAGGAGAGGGACCAGGCTTTATATACTCCCATTGGCCTGTCATTGACCATAGGCCACTCTGGGAGGAGGTATAACTTGTGACCTAGGGGCAATTCCCGGTACAGCTCTGAGCCATCAGCAACCAATGTTCCCAGCAGCTGGGGGATAGGTTGTGTGAGCCCTGAAGAGGGATCTGGATGGGGCTCCATGGTATCCACTACATTATCCCAATATACTTGCCTCTGCCTTGAATAGTTTAATCTAATTGAAGTCTGCCCTCTTGCTCTTCTGCTTCAACTTGCACCTGATCACCTAGCCTGCACCCAGTTCTTTGAATTTAGTTTTGATTTTTTTCATTCTCCATTTCCTTTGCATGCTATTCAAATAATCCTCCCCGATCGAGGCCAAGCTTTACTCCACTGGAGTAAATGGAACAAGGTCAGGCCTAGAAGATTAAAGAGTCTTCCTCATTCTGCCACGTTTCAGAATAGAATATATTGATATTGTCAGATGTCATAAAGGATATCCCAAAAATCAGAAAAATAGATATTTAAGTGTCATTTAGGACTTGAAGTCAGGTGATTATAAATTACTAAATCTGTCGGGATTGGTGAGGTTCAGTACATCTGAGCTAAAGAGCAACCTAGTAATATATAGTATTGTAATACTGTAGTACCATATAGTGTAATGTTACAGCACTAGATACTACTATATACTTCAATAATACCATATAATATCATAAAACTGTACATTATAATACTTTAATATTATGCCACTGGTATTATAGTAGTATAATATTCTTTGTAGGAAAGGGATATTGGAGCTTTTAAGTCTTTCATCTCTGTGTCATAAACAACAAATGGAATAGGGTGTTAGTTTGTCTATTGCTGCATAACAGATTATTCCAAAATTTAGCAGCTTAAAACAGCAGACACAGTTTCTGTGGGTCAGAAACCCAGGCACAGCATAACTGGGCCCTCTACTTGAGGGTCTCTCACAAGGCTACAATCAGGGTGTTAACAGGATTATGGTCTCATCTGGAGGCTCAGCTGGGAGCCTTACTCATGTGTTGTTAACAGGATTTTGTTTCTTGAGGATTGTTGGACTGTGGGCCTCAGTTCCTTGCTGGTGGTCAGCTAGAGGCCACACTCAGTTCCTTGCCATGTGGACCTTCCCAATATGGCAGCTTGCTTTACCAAGTGAAGAGCTGGGAAGGCAAGAAAGAGTGTCAACAAGACAGATATCACAGTCTTCTGTAACTGTTTTAGTTTCCTAGGGCTGCTGTAACAAAGTACCACAAGCTGGGTGGCTTAAACAACAGAAATGTATTCTCTCACAGTTCTGGAGGTTAGAAGCTTAAAGTCAAAGTGTGACAGGACCAAAATATCTCTGAAGACCCTAGGAGAAAATTTGTTCCATGCCTTTCTCCCAGCTTCCAATGTTGTCAGAGATCCTCTGCATTCCTTGGCTTGTAGACACATCACTCTGATCCTGAGGATCATATTTATGTGTTTATACTATCACATAACTGCTTCATAATTTCATAGTTAGTTTAAGACCTTCCTAAGCATAATTTTAAAAAGGTAAAACCTTTCGCTGGTGATAGATACCATTAACAAAATATATTGGGGTCAAAATTTACTCATTATTACTGAGATGTATAAAAAAGTAATTTTATTTTTTATAATATCTCATATTGCTTTTGAGTCCTGATCCCAGTGGAGTATTGGGGAGAGAACTCTTAAACTTATCCATTGAAGGAACTTGGGCTCTTTCTTTTTAAAATAGACTCCTTAGGATAAACCTAATCGCTTTTGGATAAATGTTTCTTCACTTGTCTTGGGTGGCATCTAGGTGCAGGAGGAAGTTTGTGTTAGTAATATCATGTCAACAAACTATTTGCCCTTCCTAAAATCTATCCGTAGAAAAATAAAAAATATGAAGCAAATGAACAAGGTGTCCCAAAAAAATGTATACACACTTTAACAGCTGATAGCTCAATTTTGAAAATGAAATGTATTTTAATAAACACTGCCTATATAATTATTCAAAGTGTGTGTATAAATTTTTTGGGACACCCTATATATGTGTGAATGGGTGTGTATATATACATGTACATGTACATACATGTGTGTGTATATTGTTAATAACATATATAATTTATAATAGCTAAGAATTAAAAACAACCAAAATGTCCAACAACAGATAAATGGTTAAGTAAACTATATTTATATTTATACAATGGAATACTATGAATCGATTAAAAATCATATAACCTGATGTGGAAAGGTGTCACAGAACACACCTAACTGATAAAAAAAGCAAGTTGCAGAATAAGGTTTACAGTATAGTGGCATAAACATAATATATGCAAAAAAATACACATATGTACATGCAACTGTATAGAAAAAGTCTGAAAGGATGCAGACAACAGTGGTTACCTTTTAGGCGGGACTGTGAGGACAGAGGTGTGAATACAAACTTCTACTTCCTACTCTATTGTTTGGAAATTTACAATGTGTGTGTATTTCTATATTGCTGTGTTATTGACATAATTTTAATTTTTAAAATCATTGTGTTTTCTACCAAAAAAATGCATTTATACTAATAGTTAATCTATTAATAATAGGGAAAGCTGCCTGTATTGACAAGCTGTGCATCACACCTCACGAACTGATTTCTCGCCTGGGCGAATTTGGACAGTTCTGCCCTGTCAGCCTGGCAGAATCATATGAATTAGTTGATTGCTCTTTAACTAAGTCCTTGGAATTTGCAGCCGAGTTCAGAGGGCATTATTATAAAATGTGTTCTCAGGAAAAACTGAAGGTAAGTTTATTCCTAACTCCAAGTATTTACCAGGGAAAGAAAATTCTTGTCTCAGAATTCATCAAATAGAAAGGGGTGGGCACAGTTATGAACACCAGGCGCCGGAGACCAGGAGCCCCATTATTGAAACCTGTGGCTCTGGGACCAAAAAAAGCAACTCATAAGCCAGTCCTTAGACTGCATCCCAAACATATTTTAACATAAAGCAGAAGTTCAGGGTCATTGATGGGCCCTCAGGATGGGCCAGCTTAACAGGTAGGGAGACCCAATAGCGAATGTCACCAATGGAGAGGATGCTTGCTGAGCATCAGGGCTCAACCCACAGGAGGACATCTAGGGGATTCAGCTCCAAGAGTACAGAAGGGAAGTCAAAGTAGAAATGAAGCAATGTTTCCTGTGCTTTAAATTCTTTTCTATCACTAGAATTTTCTGTATACCTTATTTTTCTGTTTAATGGAACAGAATACAGATTTGTTCTAATATTATAATGTCTATAATTTGATGATATAAAATGGTTGGTAGTTGCAAACTAAACTGATGCCTCTGAACATTTTATTTTCCTCTGAAGAATTAAGAGATTTTTGATCACTTAATTAAGGACACATTTGTTTCTTTCTGCTTATTTAAATGATACTCACAGAATTTAAAAACCAGACGTGATATTGGAGATCATGTATCTGTTCTGCCCCCTCCATTTTATAGAGTGATAACTAAAGCTGACAAAGTTAGCTCACTTGGCAAAGGGCACACAAGTAGTTGATTATACTGCAGGACAGGAAGACAGGTGGGCAGGGGACTGTGTACTCTCCAGTGCCAGGCACATAGTAGAAGCTCAACAAATATTTTTGTAAGAATGCATGAGCGAGTGAGTGAGATAGATTAGAAGAGATCTTAGATGCGATCACTTGTGTGTTTTACTTTAAGGAACTTCCAGCCAGGGATGAAGTTATTGTAGTGCTGAAAGCAGCTCTCTGATGGTTTGAGGGACCAAGCATTACTTCTGAAAATGGAGAGAATACCAGAAGAGCCTCAGTGGGTTTTTGGTTGGCATAGTTCTCCTGGTTTAAATGGTTTTATTGCTGTAATCCTTTCTTCATAGGAATTTTTGGAGAACCCAGAATTATATGTGCCTCCATTAGCACCTCATCCACTCCCACCTGCCAACATGATCCCCAAAAGGCTGACACTGTCAGAGCTGAAGGAACAGTTCCCTAAGTGTGCTGAGCTCCAAAGCTACTGTCCAGTGACCTATAAGGATGGAAATCAAAGGCAAGTCCTCGTGGAAGTACAGGATGATATCTCTACTCGGAATAAGGGGTTCATATAACAGTCTTAACATTGTGGTCAAAAGGTCACTATTGTTTAACTGGAGAATATTCTGTTTCTTCCTTGAGTTGCATAGGTAGAAGAAGAAAACATTTTGACATTTTATTTACACAGTACTGCATGTTAATTATACTATAGTTTTTTTTGTCTTTCAGATATGAAGCCCTAGTACCTGGTAACATTAACTATGCCTTAAAATATCGTGATCGTATATATATCTGTGAAAGTAGTGAAAAACTTGAGAAATTTTTGAGGTGAGACCATTCTCTAAGTCACATATTTCTTGAATATCTTCTATGTTCAGTGCACCGTGATGGACTGTATATGTGTGTGTGTGTACACACATGCACACACATGTACATATACATACATACACACACACACATATCATATATGATGGTGAATAAGGACTGGTCCCTGCTGTCCCAAAGCCTGAGGCTCAGAGGTAAAATAGAATGTAAGTACCTGATAAGAAAACAGAATGTAATGGGGTTTCAGGTGGGGAAGTGTCAGGATTTCTAGGAAGGTGTAGCCTAAAAGTCTGACTAGATTGTTTGTGTAAGACGTGAATGAGCAGTAGGAATTGGCCAGATGAAAGAAAAAGGGACAGGTTCTAGCCAGAGGGACCTACAACCCTAGCCCAGGCGATCACAGAGCTACAAGAAATTCAGCATGGCTAGATGTGATGTGGAGAGGGAAAGGAGCAAGAGGTGAGGCTGGAGATAGTGAGCCAGGCCTGAGTGTAGAAGGTCAAGTAAAATCACCATAAATCATTTGGACTTGATTTGATGGGCAGTTTGAATACATTGACTGGATTTCAGTGCTATAATTAAATTTGCTTTGGAAAGAGACCATCATTGGAACACTGATAATCAATTGGCGGCGGGGATACCAGTTATGAGGCTGTTGGAGTTCAAAATAATGTAACAAGTTTGAGGTCACCGATGAGGAGTAATGTGGGAAGAGCTGCATGCACAGGGCAAGCCCTGAGAAACACTGACAAATGAATGTCAGAAGGAGAGCTTACAAGGGAGAATGAAAAGGAAGAACCCACGGAGAAGTGAAAGGAGAGCCAGGAAGGGAGGCTCCGGGGGGCGAAGGGGAGAGCGTCTCTGGGAGAGTGTGGCCAGCAGGTTTAAATGCTGCTTAGAGGTGAAGCAAGACAAGATTTGAAGAGTGTGTCGGCTTTAGGTTATAACGGGTCATCAGTGATCTTGGCAAGAGTGGTTTGTCGAGTGAGGTGAGTAGAAGCCAATTACAGAGTGCCAGGGAGTAGATGCAAGGTGGCAAATTAAGACCTTGCCAGTAGCCCAAAGGTTACAAACACAGATGTTTACAGTGCCAGGAAGGTGATGTGAGTGAGGGCGGCAGGTTGGATGTGAAACAACAGGAAGTGGTTGGGACTGCTGCACACTAGACCACACACGCCCCAACTAACGGGAACAGCAGCTACTCTTCTATTGCCAGACATTTCTGTTTTTCACAAGAAGTTGGAAACCAAATTTCTTTCCCTTTTTTCTAATTTTTAAGTGTCTGTGACTGATTCAAATCTTTTAAAAAATACTATGTGAATCAAATCACATCCGCAGATGGAATCTGTGCAGTAGTCTGTGATCTCTAGGGAAGCACACTGTTTGAAGAAGTGTAACTGTGAAAAGACATTAGTTGCTGGAAGATACATGAGATTGAAGCACTGAAGGTGGTTTTTCTTTTTACTTCCTCCTCCCCTCCCCCCAATGGGGGAGGTTTGAGCATGTTTAAAGGCAGATGCATGGGAAGATCCAATGCACGGGAAGGAACTGCCAAAGTTGAGAGTGAGAGAGAAATGCTATAGTAAGATATGTGGGGAGAGCCCGGCTGGGTATGGCTCAGCGGTTGAGCTTCAACCTAGGATCCAGGCGATCAGGGTTCAATTCCCCGTCAGGGCACATGCCCGGGTTGCAGGCTCGATCCCCAGTCGGGGGCATGCAAGAGGCAGCCGATCTATGACTCTCTCATCATTGATGTTTCTATCTCTCTCTCCCTCTCCTTTCCTCTCTCTGAAATCAATAAAGATATAATTTTAAAAAAAATTAAAATTAAAAAAAAGATATGTGGGGAGAGAGGAGAGTGGGGATCCAAAGTGTGGGTGGAGACTGATCTTAGGTGAGAGCTTCGCTGTGGAAAGAGGAGGCTGCTTGGGGCTTTGCTGGTCATAAGCAGTTGGGGGAGTTCCTTTTATTTATCTTCTCTTTGTACAGCATGGCATCTCTCTAGAGGGTTACTTGGGAGAGTTAGAAGTTTGAAGAGAATAAAGAAAATTGTATGTAATTGCTGTGAAAAAGAAGAAAACTGAGAATAGGCAAGCAGGGCTAGGGACCAAGCAAACGTGATGGTCATGGGTTTCTAGGAGCTGCAGTGGAGAAAACGGGTAATGAACTTTATCTTCTAGTTGTCTCTTGTATATCTACATTCCTACATACACAATGAGTATATCTGTGAGCATCCATCTAATGAACTTTGTGTTCCTAGGTTGCCACTGAAATACTGGAAGCAGAAGCTTCCATACAAACTTCCCCCGTTAAAGGAACCAATACATCTTACTAGTCTTCCCCTGCCTGGATATCTGGAACAGGTTCAGTAACACGATTTTCTATATATATATACATTAGAAGAGTACAACGATCTCTTCTTTAACAGTAATTTTTATTTTGGTAATGATGAAATTCAAGGCAGAGTTTTCTGATTTTAAGCTGCAGATCCACTTTTAACCTATTTGTTTATGGGTGGTTATGAAAATAAAATATGTGAAATAACTAGTTCCCAAATACCTACACTAAATTATTTACATTTGACATGCAGTTTGGTTCATATTTTGAATTTCAGTGTCTGTAAAACATTTTCATATTTTGAAATGTACAGATTCAAGTGTCTAAGAGGCTTATTCCCCCCTTCAGAGTTGAATTATAGTGTTACTGAAGCTATCTACTGAAGTCACATTTTATTTATCTAAATGAAACTCTTTTTAAACATAGTAAAACACAACAGTAGCCAACCCCTGTTTTTAATTCTATAAAATAAATGTCCAGGGCACAATTTCATACCTTTCTCACAAAAATTCTTAACCACTTGTGTGTTTTTTTCAACTCTCCTAGATGTTTGGCCTTCAATCTGGTTTAATATCAAAATGTAAGATGAGGCTCACCCAGAGAAGGTGTTCTCCTAAAGGCCAAGTTTCATCAGGAGGGCCCTACACCTTCTTTGCCTGCTCAAGGCTCCAGAACCTTGACTGCAGTGATCTCTGTGGTCTCTGAAAGTCCTTGTCAGGTGACCAAGGGTCCTGATAGTGGGAGGCAGTCTGGCCAGTTCTGAGCAATGGAAGCAGAGATGGGCCAAGACAACGCAAAGCCCAGTGTCCCCTTCTTTCTTCTTTAACTGTCTGCAATGGAATATGTGAAAGGTATAATAATAGAGAGAGCTGTATAATGATGCTCATGTAGCCATCACCTCGTTGGCACTAAACCAATGTATAATTTTCATTTTTCCTGACCAAACCTATTTTGGCTTTCTTTTATGTTGGCTAAGTGGTCATCTAACCATCTTTATAAGCCCCATTCCCAACCCCAGGAGGCTATTAGAGGTAAAGAATAGCCTCTTTATCTATTTGCCACTAAGAAAAGAAACTCAAATATACATATGATTTAAATTGTTTTCTATCTGCAGGGTGTCGCAACTTCTCTAATTAAAGCAATGAACGCCGCAGGATGCTTAAAACCCAAATTTCCCTTCTTAAGTATAAAGAAATCTGCGCTACTCTATATAGCATTTCATCTAAAAGGTATGTCTTTTTTAGTGATATACTACTCAGAAGTAATTTAACACTAATTGTACTATTTATGGTAAATGGGATTGTTGAGCTGGGTTGGTCTCTTGAAAGCTGTGTGCGTGTGCGTGCAAGGGTGTGCGTGCAAATATTTTAATGAAAATACCAAAACTGAATTACTAGTTTTTAAAGTAGGGACTCTGAGTAATACAGTCAGCTCTCAAAAAGCCAGGCCATAGAGGAAGGTGAAAAGGAAATTATGATCTAGAATAGAATAATCCCCAAATTTTATTTGGGATTTGGATATCTTCTCAGCTCAATCACACACACAGTTCTCTTTCTCTGTGGTTTAATGATTTACTAACCTAACAGAAAATATTCACAAGTCTGTGAAATTTTCTACAGCCTTTAATCCCAAAGGTTCTGAATATACAAGAAAAAAGTATAAGAAGAAGATGGAGCAGTTTATAGAGAGATGTGAACTCATTACATACCTGAGTGCCAAGATGACCAGAAAATACAAGGAACCTCAGTTTAGACCCATTGACTTTGATCATAAATTACAGACCTTTCTCTCTCTCAGAAATATAGACCCAATTAATGAATAGTTTGCTTGGGTAACTGCAACGAGAATCTCAAGAGTTATCTGAATGGCATAGAGGGAAATAGATTGAAAACTGGGCCCTCTCTGATGAACTTCTCCCTCCTGAGTGCTATACCATGGCTGCCAGACCTCAAATGGACTCAAAGCTCTGCCATCCAGGAGGAGTGCTCTTCTGTAAACATAAGTTTTAATAGAATTTTAAACTTTATTGCTCTTTGCCTGAAATTTGATGCTGTAACAAAATGGCTATTCCATTTAGAATTCCATTTAGAGTATTTAGGTAATTCATTTTACTTAATAAATCTATTGTTCATTTTCCTTTTTAACATCAGTTGAAAAAAACCAGTCTTTGTTAAAGAAAATTACTCAGTAACTGTTAGAAAGCTTCAAGAAACAAAATTAACATTGATATCAATAGCATAGAAATATTCGTTACACTTTTGAAATAAGGAGTTGTGTGTAAACTTTATGAACATAAGGTACTTTATCATTTTCCCAACAAAATAAACAGATTTTGAGATAACTAAATGGCTGCCTCTTTTCTTTTTCTTTAAGTATTCAAGGAAATATGCTTTATACATTATTTATAATTAGAAATCACCTGGACTTTTTAGAAGGATGAAATCTAGACTCTTATAAGACATTATCAAGAAGTATATGCAAGAGAGAAACTTACTAAATTGAATATGAGTGAGATTTTAAAAATAAGATTATCAATTTTTCAGCAGCAGCATAAGAAATTTAGAATATGAAGTAGCAAGATTGGTTCTTTAAAAAATAAAAAAATGCAACCTGTATAATCTTAGGTAAATCTAAATTTCTCTGAGCCTTTGTTTCTTAATCTCTAAAATTAGTGAGTTGGCTTTTTTCAGCTTTATTGAGGTAAAATTGACAGACAAAATTATATATACTTAGAGTGTACAAAATGGTGGTTTTGATATAGGTATACATTGTTAAATATTTACTACAATCAAATTAACACATCCATCCCCTCACATAATTACTGTGTGTGTGTGTGTGTGTGTGTGTGTGTGTGTGTGTGTGTGTGTGGTTAGAACACTTAAATTTCAAGTATACAGTACAGTATTATTAACTATAGTCACCATGGTGTACATTAGATCCTCAGAATTTATTCATCTTATAATTGAAAGTTTGTACCATTTGACTAATTTCTCCCTGTTTCTCTCATTCCCCAGCCCCTGGATGCTACCATACTACTCTCTGCTTCTATGAATTTGACCTTTTTAAAAATTAGATTCCACATATAAGTGTGGGGAGGGAGAGAGAAGGAACTTTCCTCTACCCTCAAGTTTATTTTCAGCTGGTCTAATAATTGAATCTACATGAGACAGATTAACAAAAGAAAATAACCAAATTTAATTACATATGTATGTATGGGAACCCCATATACATGAGAGAGTCAGAGATCCCACATAGGTGAGAGGCTCAAGAACACAAAGTTAAAATGAGGTATAAATGGCATTTTGAGCTAAGGATGAGATAAGACACCTTGGGATTTCAAAGGGAAGGAAGGTCATTCACTGGACAATAAGAAAAACAGATATGCAGTAATTAGAAGTTTGCCCTGCTCTATATATAGGCCATAAAAAGGTATCTCTGGTAATAATTCTTACTATGAACAAGGCCCTTAATTTAAATTCTTCTAGGTAGTTGGTTGTGAGGAGCAAAAGCAGAACTTTCTCTTGAGCCCACAGGGTCTTGGTTGCCTTTAGCTCAAAATAATACACAAACTACGGAGGCACATCTTGGGCTGACTCATTCTGAACCACTACAAAGTGCTACCATACAGTATTTGCCGTTCTCTGTCTGGCTTGTTTCACTTAGCATAATGTCTTTCATGTTCATCCATATTGTCTTTGATTCCTTATAATTTCAACACTCCACTCTCTCTAAAAAAATCAATGGAAAAAATACCCTTGGGTGGGAATTAAAAAAACATTTTTTTAAAGAATACTGTTTTCTTAAAATAAGTAAATAAAATGCATTTCATTTTCAAAATTGAGCTATCAGCTGTTAAAGTGTATATACATTTTTGGGGGGACACCTCGTATATCTAGCTGTGTATTTCTTTTTGTTTAGCCTTCTTGGGATTTGTTATGCTTCCCAAATCTATAGATTTGTGTTTTGTACCAGTTCTGGGACATTCTCATTATTATCTTTAACAATTATGTCTTTCCCATTCTCATTAGTCTTTGCATCTGAAATTTCTATTAGGTTGTATGATAAATCATTCTCATTCTGTTCATCATGTCTCTCAACATTCTTTCCATACTTTCCATCTCTTTATTTCAGACTAGCTTTCTAGGCAATTTCTTCAGATTTATCTTCTAAATTACAAATTCTCTCTTCAACTGTTTCACCTACCTGTGGTGTTTTGTGTATGGTTATGTGTAGATTTTATTGAAATGTTATCCATTGATTTTTAAATTTCATTGATTACATTTTAATTTCTAGGAGGATTTTGGGGATCCTGGTTCTTTTTAAAATTCTGACAGGTCACAAATTTTCAGAACTCCCCCCTCACCTGGAGCCAAGGCCAAAAAAAACCACATGATTTCTTGGTACCTCCCTTCGACAGCAGAAAGATTTTTATTTTTTATAGCCCACCCTTTCTTGGAGATTATAGCCCTTCTACAGAACCTGACTTCTGTGGGAGCTTCTCTGTTTCAACTCCCTACTGCAGACACACCAAAGGCTTTGTATGCTGGTCCTAAATTACTCATTAAAAGCCAAGCCTCTAGGTCCTGGTTTATAAAATGCCCTTAGGATTTCCATAGCTCCAAGTTTAGCTCACTACCCTGATTTTAATTCTATTTTTTTGTCACGTGGGATTTTCTTTACCCTCCTTTAAGCTCAGTTATGCATTTTCTGTCGTCATCTTTAGCTATCTGGTGAAATGGTTCTTCATAGTATTAACTTTCCATATTGTCATAATCAGGCATCCTTTCCAATGAAGTTTGTTAGATAAAACACAGGATGTTCAGTTGAATTTGAATTTCAGATAATCACATAGATTTTTTTTTTTTTTTTTTTTTTTGGTATAAGAATATTCCATGATATATTATTCATTGTTTATCTGAAATTCAAATTTTACTGGATGCCCTGTGTTTTTTATTTGCAAAATCTGGCCACCTTACCTCCAGTCCAACTCCTGCCACTTTCCCCCTCATTCACTGTGCTCCAGCCACAAAGGCCTTTCTGTCACTCAAAAGTCCCAGGCTCATTTCCAGTCTCAGAGCCCTTATGCTTGCTTTTCCCTTGCCTGGAAAATTCTTAGTTTAGATCTTCACACAGCTGGTTTCATATCATTTACATTTCAGCTCAAATGTAATTGTATCTCAACTTCATTTCTTGTCAGTCTCCATCATCACTACTCATAAAACTTAATACCTTCTGAAATTATATTATTTTACTTGTATTTTTGTCCTTTGTCCCCATAGAAGAGGGCAAGGGCCTTGTTAGTTGCTATATTCCCTAGCACCTGAAACAGTGCCTGGTGCTTAGCAGGTACTGAATAAATATTTGTTGGATGAATGATAATCAACCCAAATCCTTCTCTGCAAGATTTAAAGTTATGAAGACCTGTTGAAGGTAGACCAACTGGCCTTAACCAAAAACAACAGCAGCAAACATTTCAAGAAAAGTAAAGAATTTTAAACGAAATTGCCTTGAAGAAAGGGCTGGTTTCTACTGTGACTGACTGATGCTGGAAAATCATCCAGACCCAGTATCTCCTTGCAGAGCTTGTGCTCTAGTGAGCGGTGACCGAATGGGGAATACCTGGCTTAACTCCACACTGTCATGTTTAGCTGTGAGACTGAGGGCCTATGGAGGACCAGTGTTTTCACTGCAGTTCTTGTGGCAGTGAGACACAGTGGGGCAATCAACTCCCTGGACTTTCTCTTCGTGCTGGTGTACAGAAGGCAGGCAGAGCCCCCCTTCTGACTTGGGTCCCCACAAATCTGGGTGTTTAAAGGCTATTCAAGACAAAGTGGAAACCTCAGAGAAGGGGCTAATTTTAATACAAACTAATAAAATGTTAAAGGAGCCAGGCTGGTAAGTATACCTCCAGTTTGAAAAATTTGGAGGTGACAGATGGTATGGTGGGGTCTGCAAGTGTCTGTTGGGGGTAGATAAATTATAAGCAATTAGGTGTTGGTGAAGCATAAATTGAGACAGAAAAGGCTAAAATGGCTGGAGCCCTGGTGGTGTTGCACAGTGGTTAGAGTGTCTACTGGCATCAAAGGATTGTGGGTTTGATTCCAGGTCAAATGCAGGTTGCAGGCTGGAGGTTGCAGGTTGGATCCCAGCCATGGTCCTGGCACATGCTGGAGGCAGATGGATGTGTCTCTCTCACATCAATGTTTCTCTGTCTCTCCCTGTCTCCCCTTCCCTCCCCTCCTTCTACTCTCTCTAAAAATCAATGGAAAAAATATCCTCAGGTGAGGATTAACAAAAATTTTTTTTAATAAAATAAAAACGACTGGAGAGAGAAGTAGGAGGGGACTGGATTTGGGTGGGGCTTAAAAAGACCACGTCAAGAAGCTTGGTCTTTACCGAAAAGGAGAGTACCCCAGAGCCACAGTGGATTCTGAGCAGGGGTGACTCCAGTCTCTGGATGTGACTTGTACTTGGAGCGGTCTCCCCTATTCCTGTGTCCTGTAGGGAACAACACTGCAACTAAGACTAGTTAGAAACCTTTAACAGTCCTTGAAGAAAGATTATAAAAGTCTGAAGAAGCAGAACGGTAATTTTAATAATTGTAGTCAAGAATTAAACCAGGCACTTACTAAACTCATTACATAATCTTGTTTGCCTCGCAGCGACCCAACCTAGTAGGCACTAGTGTTAACATCTCCGATTTACAGGTAAGGTTAAAAAAAAAAATTTGAGAGGATCAGTAACTTGCCCAAGATCACTCAGTACCCAAGTTCACTAGACCGCTCTCTCTATTCCCTTGGACTAAGGATTGGAAGGGGCGGGGGCGGGAGAAGGCGGCCGTGAAAAACATTTAGGAGGTAAATAATAATGGAGGAGGAGGGGAGGAGAGGGAAGGGGAGGGCAGGGGAGAGGGAAGGAGAGGAGCAGGGGAAGATGAACGAGACTATAAAGGCGATTTCATTCATCACACATTCGAGACCTTATAGTGAGCTTCGGCGTCAGGGGCGAGGAGCTAACGGTCTAATGTGATATAAAACTTCCACAATTGCAGAGCGACAACGTCACTGCAGGCCATCTCCCCCACATCGCCGCAAACACGAGACCTGCCAAGGCTCTCAGCGGCGCAGCCCCGGACCTCAGGCCCCGCCCCGCT